GCAGGCAATAGTACCGCCGACGTAGCGAGGGGCATCCTTGGTGCGGAAGACCTGGGCACCAGCCATGTTACCAATACAGTAGGCGATCAGGGTTAGTGAGGATACAACAGTTCGCTTAGTACCTCCAGCGACGTTGGACGTGACTAGGAGGAGGAGAAATGTTAGAACGAGATAAAAAGCGCGTCCAGGTATCAACACTTACTCATACTCCAACCGAGGAACAGGGAGAGGGAGAAGACGACAGTGATGTCGAACATGCCCCATTTAAGCCACTTGTGCTCAGGTGTGTTGGGCATAAGAGACATAACTAAAACACCCACGAATGGGAGAATGCAAGAGATAATCATAATATACATGCGCTGGTTCTGGAACTTGCGGAGGTAGAAGGCGACCGCGATGAAGACGACGACGTACATGCCTACATTCATTAGTTTCCAGCTCACATATCTCACTTATCTTGGGGATTACACGTACCGTTACGCGGGAGACCCCAAAGCATGGACTCCCAGGTGCTGAATCCAAAGGTCTGGTAGAGCAGAGCGCTGAAGGTGGTGATGCCGCTGCAGCCAACTCATTAGCCTTAGAATGTAATTTATCTCGCATCCTAAAACTTACCCGTTAGGAATGCAGGCCAGGAAAGTGTTGGCAAAGATAAAGTAGACCTGAGGGTCTGTAAAGCACTCCTTAAAGTGATCCCATCTCCAAGCCTTGCTAGTGCTCTCCTCGCCAGTCTGGTTCTTACTCACTCTTGCAGCTCTGTTGCACCAGTTAGCTCAATTGTCTCGAATATTGCTGTCTGGTTTCAGATCAAGAGGAGCATCAGGGAACACTTACGCCATCTTCTTCTCCTTCTCGCTCAACCACCGAACCTCCTGAGGGGTTCCAAGGATGAAATAGCAGAAAACGGAGCCGGCAAGAGTGAGGCCGCCGAGGAACAACGAGATAGTGCGCCAGGCCGCGATATGGCCTTGGGCCGTGGCGTGGCGAGCAATTCCATACAGAATCAGGTTGCAGACAATGGTGAAAAAGCCTTGGGAAGACTGCCAGAAGAGCGATCGGTTGGCGTGCTCATCGGTTCGGTACCAGGCCCCGGTGATGAGGAGAAAGCCCGGGGAGATGTTGCACTCGAAGAACCCCTGGAGGGCGCGAAGAGCCATGAGTTGAGACCAGTTGTGGCATGCGCTGATGCAGAGAAGGCAGACAGCTTTCGGGTGTCAGCTTCTGTTCAGATTTATGTTGATAGAAGGAGGGGGGGGGCTTACACCAGCCGACTATGTAGATGGTCAGGACGCGGCCGATGTTGTATCGTTGTAGAAGCCATGTTGAAGGAAACTCGCCGATGAGGTAAGTGAGGTAGAATCTGTTCGGAGACTTGTCAGAGACGCGGCCTTATCCCCGGTGCGAAACAAAGGGGACTTGTTCTCACATGGTGGTCAACCACTGGAACTGCTGGCCAACCAATCCGACATCATCGTTCATGCCAAAGAGCTGCCAGGGTGTGTCAGAGCAAAGAGAAAGTCTGGAGATTTGATATGTCCTTACAGCCTGGATACTGATGGATGTCTTGTCGGTCTGCTGGATACCGTACATGAAGAACCTGGTCCAGAGGTTAGTCAATTCCGACTGAGGCAACGCAGCCGTGAGTGCAAGACTTGCATCATTGGGATGAGGTATCGGTCGATCTTGCGAGTTAGAGCCTTGTATTCCGCCTCACTGTACTCTATAAGGGAGAAAGGTTAGAGTCATGCCTCATCCTGATGCCACACAAGGAACAGAGTGCATACCCTCCGACTCCCCGGCCGTAGTAGTGGCAACGCGTTCGAGGCCGATATCCTTCTCATCTTTGAGGTCGGGAATGGACTTCTGGTCAGACTCGTAGGTCTTGGGAGGGTTTGCATCCGTGGACGCCATGGTAGGCTTGCTTTGCACCGGTCGGCGTTAGATGAAGGGCCGCCTAGTCTGGTGCTCTGGTGATCTGGTGTTGCCGTTTGGATACTGAACGGAGGCTCTTGAGCTTGTTGTCGATCGAGCAGAAGCAATGTAGGATGAAGTCTTATATAGATGTATATGCACAGACATGTAAAAATTCTGGGGTAAAGATAGCCTTGGCCGGAACGACGAGTTATCCCTTATCTGGGGACGATTCTCCACTGTATACGTCGTGAGAGCGGGACAGATCCCTGCCCTTACTCGCGGACACTTGGTCCAGAAGGTTTGATGACATGATGTTACGATATTCACACACCCGTAGGATAGGTATACCATTACATGTACATCTTGCATGCTGCAGGGACCGTTCATCTATCTATCTATGTATCCGGTTCTCCGTCTCAGAAGGAGTGGGACGAGAAAAATGCTACTCTGGTTCTGGTGACCCCCCTCACCGCTGCGCTTACCCCCAATTGGCCCAACAATCCCCTCCCAATATCGGTGTTACCTAAGCTCGCCTCGTTATCTGAGCCCCTCTATCTTATCTTGTGGAGAAACATGGACCAGAAGTCGAGGATTAGCGACGCGAGTATACAGTTCCAGTGCTCGTATCAGATAGACAACTTGCCAGCGAATGCGCCGAGCTATGAGTGATTCTATGATATTGATGAGGAATCCCTGTGGTCGCTTCCTTCTCCCCTAATCACCGTATCCGACCCCCCGGCAAGATATCCCAGAAGCTCCCGGTGTGGCAACCAAACGCTTCGGCAATCCGCGTTCAAGGCCCAAGATGTCGCGGGAAACGCCGAAAGTGCGGGGTGCGTTAACAGGCCCGCGGAGGTGAATGATATGCTCCTTATTGCATCGAACGGACGCGAGTCAATCGCCTCTCGCAGGATTTATCTATTCCCGAGCATTAGAGATAGGCCGGAAACACTTCCGGGACCCGGCGCGGACAGTAATAAGACCTTGGTGCTTGAGCCATCAAGCGGCGGCATATCGTCACACGGTCTCCCTATCACTTGATTGTACCTTAGCCACACCACCATGTCTGACCAAGGCCCTATCCCCGTTCCCAACTCTACTAAGCCGTTCTGGCGAACCCAGCTCCATGAGCTGGACAGCCACCGTAGCACTCCAGATCTCCCTACCGAGAGTGAGATTGTCGTCGTGGGTGCTGGCTTCGCCGGTGCGGCTCTGGCGCATTATCTCTACGCTGACAACCCCTCCCCGCCCTCTCTGGTGATCCTCGAGGCAAGAGAAGCGTGTTCCGGTGCCACAGGCCGCAATGGTAGGTCTATTCCCTTGTACTGAGTGAGAGGCGGCTGAAAGGAGAGAAAATAACATCCTAACTTTGCATTTCAGGCGGCCACTTGAAGCCGGATGTCTACTTCGGTCTCCCCAAGTATATCAAGAAGTACGGCGTCCGCGCGGCCGTCGAAGTCGCCAACTTTGAGGCCTCACAGGTTCGTGCAGTCAAGGAGCTTGTCGAGAAGGAAAAGATAGACTGCGAGTTTACCCTCACCCGAGCCTGTGATGCCACGCTCGATGAGAGTCTCTCAAATGAGACCGAGGCTGCCTTCAAGGAACTGGTCAACTCAGGGGTGGCGAACCTGAAGGATGTTCACTACACGCCTCGGGCACAGGCTGAAAGGGTATGATTCCCCCGCTCCGGGTTCATGAGTCTCTGCTAACCACCGCCGTCGATCAGGTCTCAGGCGTCAAAGGTGCCCTGTCATGCTTCACCTTCACGGCCGGCCACATCTGGCCATACAAGATGGTGATGCATCTCCTGAAGGGTGTCGTGGAGAAGGGGGCCAATCTCCAGACTCACACCCCGGTTACCCGGGTGTCTGACAAACCCCTACCCGATGGCCGATGGGAGGTGGTCACTGAGAGAGGAACAATCAGGGCCAAGAAGGTCCTACTCGCTACCAACGCCTATACCCCGCGTATAGCCCCTGAGTTCAAAAACCACATTGTCCCCGTCCGCGGCATCTGCAGCCGCATCGTCGTGCCCAAGGGCAAGACGGCGCCTTTCCTCCCTCAGACGTACAGCGTCCGCCACGGGCCGGCCATGTACGACTATCTCATTCCTCGGAACGACGGGAGCATCATTGTCGGTGGTGGAAAGCCCAGATTTTGGTCTGATCGATCACACTGGTACAATGTGTGGGATGACAGCAAGCTCATCGAGCCTGCCAAGTCTCACTTTGACGGTCTCATGCAGAGGACCTTTATCGGTTGGGAGAACAGTGGCGCCTACACGGACAAGGTCTGGACGGGAAGTAAGTTAGACCCGCTTCCGTTCTAGTGAGATGACGATTTGCTAATACCGGTTTGTCGATAGTCATGGGCTACAGTTCGGACTTTATGCCTTACGTTGGCGAAGTGCCTGACAAGCCTGGCCAGATGGTTTTGGCTGGATTCTCTGGACATGGAATGCCATTGATTCTTCTATCAGCCAAGGCCATCGTACAGATGATTCGCCAGGGCAAGTCTCTCGAGGAGACTGATGTGCCTTCACTATTCAAGGCGACCAAGGAGCGCCTGGAGAGCACTAAGAACGAGATCATCGAGGGGCACGACGAGGAGCAGAAGCAGATGAAGAGTAAGCTGTAGGATATAGCAAACCATAGATGCCCAGCACACCTGTAGTACAATCATAATCTTCTCAACACTACATTTCGGTGCCATTTTACTATAAGAACCTATAGGCACAAATCTATTAATACATGACTACTATTATGGATACACTCATCGTTAAGAGAACCCAAAAGAGCTTGATACAAATCTTGCGACGATGACTGTGTGAGCAGTTTTGTCCCCTAGCTGTTTACACAGAACAACGAACGATGTGCGTGCCGGCGGGTGCAACATCATTACAGTAATACATCTTGAACATCAATACTCACTGCATATTAGACATGGACTGGGCTCTCGGGATTATCATGCTTCTTTATGTTTTGTTTTATTCTTTCCTTCAGATGAGTTGCTGGAGCGGAGCATTATAAAGGTGCTCTTCTGCTAGGCCCATGCATTTCCTATCTTTCGCATTTGACTACGTGACTTTACTTAGCGGAATAGTTGATAATTCCATCTGCTAGCCCCGGGAGGTCATCAGCAGTAACCTCCATCTCTCCAAAGACCTCGGGACAAGGCTCCTTCTCCCAGAGGGAAACCCAGGCCCCTTTGAAACTGGTGGTCGATAACGCATTAGTCTCAATTATCCTTAATCATGACGAGTACTGGGACAACTTACCCGCAGTGTCGCGCACCTGCAGTGTCCCAGATGTGCGCAGCTCCAAACCAAACATCGAGATTCTCCTTGGGGAACTTGTCTAGGATGTACTGGTACGAGTCAGGGGCCGGTTTTCCCACTCCAATGGTGTCGCAGGACACAAAGTTGTCCGATGGAAAGTCCACGCCGCCCGCAGCGAGATATCTAGCCACGCGCTGGGTGTCACCTGAAGTGAGAGCCCAGACGTTGAAACCGGCACCGCGCAGCTTCTCAAAGCATTCTTTCAGACCCTCGCGTGGCTTGAGCTGGCGGTAAGCGGCGAGCAGGAACTCGCGATCCTCGTCGCTTGCGAACTTGCGCGGCTCCTGAATGCCAGCCTGCCACAGCGTGCGGTAGAAGATGGCTCGGAAGATGTCAAAGAATTTGATGTACTTGCCCCCGGAGAGACTCATGTAAGTGTACTCTTTCTCACCGGCCTCCATCCAGGCGTACCCGAAGATCCGGGGTCCAACATTAGCAGCCCTCAGGCGATCGCCTAGTCGGGCCTCAATAGCCTCGTAATAGACCTCATACGAGACCAACGTCCCTGCAGAAAGTCTTAGCATAATTCCATACAGTAACTTTAACGGGATGCTGGGGCTTTGCCCCAATCTCCCAGGGGTCGCGCACCAACGACGTCGAAGACAACGTGCTTGTTCTCAGAAGACATTAGGATTGAAGGTACAGAGGCTTGTTTGGGAAGAAAGGCGATGGAAGACTGAGTAGCTTGATTGACTCTTGCTCAATCGAATAATAACCATGTCGATGGCTTCTCCTCTCGATTATTATCTGAGGTGCTGATAGTCTGGCACACACGACCCTACCCCCACACCATAACCAATGCCCTTGCCCTGGTGGATGATCGGAGAACCGCGCTGTTGTCGGCGAGACTCACGGCCAAATCCGATGGCTAGGGGCCGGCTTAGCGGGCTACCAGCTTCCACTATCCCCGCTCTGACGTCGCGTGGCGTCGCGTCACGTCGCGTTACAGAGCTCTGGGTATCATCATCCTGAGCCGGATTCAAGCCCCCAGAGCATGGAAGGGCGATACCCGGCTTGACACCGGATGCAGAACCCGGCGTTGAAAGCGGGAGATTGGGTCAGATCGCTATGCTCTAGACCTCCTTTCCCAGGATCATTTCCAAGCATCACAAACTTCGACGAGAAAAAAGCGGAAATGGAAGGACTTGCGCTCACAGCGACATATCTACTATCTACTATCTAGAAACGTACAGTTAGACAGGATGGCTGAGACATTCCTGCAACTCGGGCTTATTCAGCTCAACTGTACTGTCTATTGATCTTGTTCTATCGCCTTCATTAGGGAGGTCGTTGTGTCACCAATACACTCTCGAAGCGACCGGAACTGCATCCCTAGCACCTCCCGCGCCCTCGAGTTATCGTACCCGTACACATCCACAGGAAAGTCATCGATGGGGTCCTTGGGCAGCTTGGATTCGAGCTCCGGGTGCGTCTCCCTTATAGCATCCATGATTCGCTTGTGCGAGCAATGCCCGCCAACCATGAAGAAACGCTTGCCTCCCGCCTCAGGCACTTCGATGGCTCTCACATGTGCCAGTGCGAGATCTCGCACGTCAACGAACAGGTACGTGCCTGTGGGTGGCAGCTCATTGGTTGTGACCTTGCCCTGGACGAAGTCACGAATCCGTGTATTTGAGGTGTTAAGGCTACCCGGGTTCTCAAGATGGTGGGCAATAGGGCCATACACCAGAGGCGGGTTCATGGTAACCAGGTCAAATATCGGTGTTTCATCCTCCATGAACTTCCATGCTGCCTCCTCGGCCAGTTTCTGTGGTACGCATTTGTCAGCCAATTCTCATTTGCTTTGGCTGCCCTCAAGACGTTTCTCACCTTGCTACCACGATACACCAGTGAGCGCTCCGCAATGGCCTCATTCCAGGTAATTGGGTTCCATGACGACTCATCGTAGACCTTGGGCGGCGACGCAGTGTTCACAATGGCTGCAAATGATGAAGTCAAGACCACCCGCTTCACCTGGGGCGCGTACTTCTGGATCGCTTTGAGTATGCCCGTGGTTCCGTCGATGGCAGGGTTCAGCACATCTTTCACGGGATCTTGCCAGTTGTCGTGGAAAGGTGAAGCTGTGTGAATGACATAGTCAAATGGCGGTTCAGATTGAACTGCCTTTGTTCAGTTGGTCGACGGTCAGCTTCTACTTTCTTTCTCTGTCCTTCCAACGTGATGCACGGAAGATTAGATATGAGGCTCACCTTGTCGAATGCGCCTCTGCTGGCAATGTCGCTCACAATAACGTATGACAGCCTTGCCGGCTGGTAGCCGCTGTGAGCAGCAAGGATCTGATCACCTTTGGTCTTGGACCTGACCGTCGTGACCACAGTGTGTCTACCAAAAAACACCAACATCAGCTTGGAATCTCCTTTGCAAAGCATGATATCAAACACACCCTCTCTCCAAAAGGGTCTTTACGACATGAGCCGCAACGAAGCCGCTACCTCCTATGAAGTGGTGAGCACTTGAGCGTGGCGCCTGGTATGGCAATTGCCAACCCTACCGGTCAAAAGGACTCTGCTCATCTTGAAAACAAGAGTCATACTGTGCTCTCTCAAATGGGACACGAAGTGAATTTGAAACCACTATAGGAATCGACATGATCAGGGCGAAATTTACACTCGAGGTGGGGGATAAGCAATTTGATTGTGCGGTCGTCTCGGGACCGAGGTCTGTTTTCGCTAAGAGACTTCTCGGCGGAGGGCGCCCTTCATAGTCAAACCAACGCGTTCCTCCGATATACTACCTTTGGGGGTTAACAAACCGGCTACACACGTCGGCATGGCTAGCTTATCCAATAAACCTATCGAAACATTTACATAGATAGAGGCATTTAGGAAGAGTAGAGGACTTCTCGGACGTTGACTCCCGACGATTGTTGATTGAGGGATTGACTGAGCTACCCTAGAGTTGGTTGGTAGACGTGGTGTGGGGCATTTCGCGATAATCTGACAGGCCCGTGCGTATCAAAATGCTGCTGATTAATTCCTCCGCTTGAATCCGACTGGTTGAGTGTAGACGCAAAATGTGGATCTTCTATTGTTGATAAGCAAAGCATAAGCCCCATTTTCAACGCGTCCAGTGTCACTGGGAACGCGCTCTGTTTATCTTGGCCTAATCCATCGCCAGCAACCCTCAAGATTACTCACAGGTACTACAACATTTCCCCAGAAAGAAGATCCCATTCCGGGGCCCATTGAAATGTCTCCAGATCATCAACAAGCAAGTTATCAAAGAAGAGGTTCCCATCCTCAAATCCAAAGTTGATGTCTCCCATCGCGGCCCTGTTCCACGAGAGACTCTTGTCAGAGAAGAGCAGAGTCTCAATCTCGTCTGCTATTGCCACCGCTTCAAACACAGACACTTGAGCCGCCCAGGCAAAGGCAGACGACACTTTCTCGACCATGGGCCTCAGCTTGTTGGCGCATCTGGTCGCCTCGCTCCATCGCTGGCCGATGTTGGTGAGTATTTGCAGGCATTGAGGGATCAGGGTCTGCACCATGCGCTCGGCCTGCTCCCTTAGCGGCTGGTAGTCACGCGCGGACCACGAGGCGTCGAGAGCAACGAGAGCTGTTTCAAACAGGATGTGCGTGCCGTGCCAGGGGTAGAAGAGTCTTCTGCGGCGTTCTTGGGATAGGTAATCTTCAATCAACCGCTGGCAGCCCCCCGAGTTAGCTAGGACTAGCTCAACTATGGTTCCAACTAACCTGAGAAGACTCTAACACAATGCCCCAGTCATCGGGATGCCTGATGCTTAGTGTCGGCGTGGGTCGATGAATCCGCAGCCGGAGGTGGTAGAACTGCACATGCTTGAACTCAAGCATGTTGTATTGCGTGTAGGTCTGGGCTTCAGCGTACCAGCCCTCCAATTGGCCAGTAATATCCGTGATCCAGTCTCCTATGGGGACGCCATTTAGGGCGAGGTCTTCTTTGAGATAAAGCACTCGATGAACTTCAGTTTCCAAGGATCGGTACCGACAGATATGATTTGCGGACGACTTTTTCCTAATATCATCTGTGGTGAACGAGGCGTTGGATTCGTCGGGCGAAGGGTCTTTGAGCTACAAGATGTAAGCAACATGTTGTTGAGTGAGGGATGGTGAGTTTGACGGGGATTCTTACTTTTGTGGTAATGGCCTCTTCGGGAAAGGACAAAGGGAGACGAAGATTCGCGCACAAGGATCTTTCCATCCCGTACGCAACCCAAAATAGCTCAGACCGTAGCCGTGCTTGCTCGGGGTCCATTCCTTGTGGAAACTCACGATGTAATCCCAAGGCCAGGACAATTCGGATAGCATTCGCGATGCATGTCCAGTTATCCACCCGCTCCGGGCACATGTGGGCAAAGTGAGCCAAGAGCAGAGATATTTGAAGAGCCTTGATTTCGCTGGGATCTTCCAGCACTTGTAAGTGCTTCAAGGCGGACTTATAGAATGACTCGGACGTGGTTCGAGCTTGTTGCTCATCTTTCCAGGTCATGGTGAGTGCGGAGATGGCCAGGACAATGAAGAGGATGAAGTACTCGAAAGGGCCGAGACCTGAATCAACAGAAGGCCCATATACTGATGGCTCAGCTGAGTCTTCGAGGCCTTCGTTCTGTGTTCGCTCGACGATACTCTGCAGCATAGCCTCGGAAATGCAGGGATACTGAGGGAGATGTGTGCCTGCATAGTTACGTACCATACGCTCGAGAGCCCAGTATGGGATGCTCTTGAGGTCAATCAAATTGCTTGTGTAGGGTCTCTCGGACTGTGGCGGATGTTGTCCACCAGCGTCTGAGTTGCCCTCTTCAAGAGAGTCTGTCTCTGGACCTGGGTTCTGGGCGGCAGCAGAGACAGCCAGTGGGGGGCATGATGGGCGAAGAAACAAGGTCGTTGAGATCTTGGATTGGAGATACGAGCCAGAGCTAGGTACACCAAAAGATATGGTCGCTTGTGCAACTTTGGAGGCCATCGAGGAAGGGAGGTGCTGAGGCCCTGTTGGAAGAGCAAGCACTTGGGCCTCAAGCTCGGCCACACGAGCCTCGAGGGACTTTACCAGACTGTTCAAGTGTCAGTTGAGGGGTTTATCGCCGAGTTAAAGCAAGGGCAGGGCAGAGGAAGTCGGACCTTCTTGGGACGGGCTTTCGTGTTGCGGGGTCGAACCCCAGGCATGGTGTGTCGGCCAACTTGCACGAGGTGCATTGTGGAAACTTGAAATCACACTGCCCATGTCTGTTAGTTGGTAGGGTCATCAATCTCCAAGGGTGGGGTCTTGACTTTTGTCTTGCGCCGTCTGCATCGCGTGCAAACCTTGGTAGAGCGACGATGTGATTTTTGCATGTTTCTAAAACTTGGGCCGAGATGTTGATTGCTTAAGCTTGCATCCTGGCCATGGTGAAGTGGAGATTGAAGGATTATCACTCGAGTCAGGAGGGAACCCATACATGTATGGGTTTCCGAGTCAGGAGCACACGTTATGTAATCAGAGGCTACCACTAGCCGAGAGCGAAAAGATAAGCCAGGCAAAGGAACCCAATCAATCAGATTCGTCCGGATTACCCCAGGCTACCAAGTCCCGCAGAGAACTCCCTCTACCTACAGGGCAATTCGTTGATACTTTGTTTGCCCGCTCAAGGTTATTCCATAATCGGTTATCTTACAGTATCTGGTTCATTCTGTCGCCCATCAACTAGCGCCGTCATGTTGCAGACATGCACGCGATGTCGAAATCGGAGGATAAAGGTCTGATTCCCAACCCCTCTTCACTCATCACCCCCGTCATGACCTCATGTCAAACCGGCTGTCTCATACCTAGCATCTTCTATTATCTTCTAGGGGACTAATATGTGCATGTATAGTGTGACTCACGCCTCCCAGCCTGTGCCAATTGTGCAAAGAGTGACTTGGAGTGCACGTTTCGAGATGATGCTCTGCAGCAAGATATCCCTAGAAGGTCTGCCTACAACCGATTCACAGCTATTATTTTCTTGCGAAATAAGAATTTGACACATCTTAGAGCGATAGCTGACTGTGCTTTTTTGTATAGCTATATCCAGACCTTGAACGAGCGAATAGAGCATCTCACGTCGCAGCTGGCTTTGAACCAACCAGAGAGTCCATGGCGGTATGTGACTTACATCTCTCCCAGAACACGTGAAGATCTTCACTATAGCTAGCGGACAGTAGCTGACATGGCGGCTCGCAGAACGATTAGGGCTGCCTCTGATGGTCACTCGACGTCACCACCGTCCACATTTACCCAGCCTCTACACATTCTGATTCCGGCTAAACCAGGGTCTGATCTTCACCTCGACAACTCAGTTCCATCTCGTTTCGTCCGAGTCGCATTTGAGGCGCTGCCGCTGGCTGGTGCCCCCCCAGATATTGATAGCATCCTCCCAGATAACGAGCAGTCATTATTACCGCCTCTCCCCTGCACTGACAGATCACAACTCACTCCTAGCGTCCTGCGGTTTCTTCTTGGGCGCTATGACCGTTGTATTAAGCCTCAATATGACGTCGTGGTACCCGGCCTCTTGAATCATGACGGGTCAAGCTTCAAGAAGCTACCAGACCATTCAAAGTTCAAGATTCTCATGGCGTGTGCTATTGCTGCCGCCCGAGAAGCCTACACAACTCCGAATTGGAAGCCCCTGGCACAGATCTGCCGTGAGTGGGCCAACGAGCTAGTTACACCCATCATCTCTGCAGGGGACAGCGACACACTGACAGCCATTCTTCTTCTACTCGTTTATGAGTTGGCAGACCCCAGCAGAGGTTTCGCCTGGGAACTTCTTGATCTTGCCGCGAGGACATGTCTGCAGCTGGGGTGGCACCAAGCCCCTCTTATTCACCTACCAGCAGGAACCGATCAAGACCATAGTATGCCCAATGCTGGCGGTCCAATATCCTGCAGGCCCGATGAAATTCGCTTGATGTCGGTTCTTAAGGAAATCGAAGGGTAAGCATACCGACCCTCATCCTGATGAGATTTATATTTACGGATTCTTTGGCTTACCATACTAGGTCACTACAAACAATCTTCAGCAGACCCAATATGCTGAGCGGTTCGAAACTTCCAACTACCTCGGAGAACGAGACTGTACACAGTCTTTACGTGCAAGTCTCTGAACAGCTTTACGGTCGAGGGCAAGTATATGAAACCCAAGCCTGCCCGTTCGTCGGTGAGGTTGGCACGTTGATGGAGCTTCTTGACACCGTCCAAACACAACATCCAGTGGCCAAGGAGACATGGCTCGCCTTCCTGCCAGTATGCTTCAAGCATAAACAATGCATATTCTGTTTCCAAGAGGCCGACGAGGACAATGTCAGGGGGATGAGAACCCTGAGACGTAAGGTTGTTTCCGCAGCATCAGAACTCATCTCGAGCGTTCATCAAAGTGCCATTTCGCAATATGGGTTTATTCCTCCCATCATAGCAAGCTCGAAAGCACTGATCTCTGGCTGCACCATCGCAACGAGTATCTCAAAACAGTGGACACCGGCAAAGGCTCATACAAACGACCTGATCAAATGCACCGAGATCCTGACCATGTTCGCGCCACACTGGAAAGGTGGCAAGGATTACCTTGGTGTCTGGAGAACAATTATTAGCCTCCTCGACCTCGAACAGCCAAAGAATACATAGACTCCTTTATTATGGTCACTTTGGACATGTTTGAGGGTGTCAACCTGTATTGATTAATGCCTTCTTTCGAACTTGGTCTATCTAAGGCCTTTCCCACTCGATCCCAGCTCAACCAATCAACCCGGCCTAGCAAACCCCTCTATTCGAATGTCATAGTCCTCACCGGCGGGTTGAGACATGGCTTTCCCAAAGATAGTTCGAGCCTCCGGTTAGGGAGGTCTATAATGATAGTCGCCAACGTCTCCATCCTCTCAATTCCCCTGGCTAGGGGAGGTGTTGAGCGGCAAATAGACACGGGTGTCCCCTCCTCATCCGAAAACCATTCTCGAATCTTTGCAACACTGGGTTCCTGGCCCTTGGTCAACAGGCGGATCCTGTTTAGTCTCGAAAACGAGTTCTTGGAAGGATGATCCCGGATGCCTTTGGGAATGTTGGGAGCCCAGAGGTGGTTGGTGTGGAATACCGTGTTCGCCCATACTATGTCCGACCCGGGCTTGGGGGAGATGAGAGCCAAGCCCTTGGGAGTACACTCCACAGTGACAATCTTGCCGGTGCTGTCGCCGATGACGAGGTTGACGCACGAAGCCAACCCCTTACTTTTCAACATGGCTATGGCCTCGTCGAATGACTGGCACTCCAGGACACGGCGCATGGCCAAGTGCACCGGTAGCTTATCCTTGGCCACTGTCCCAGAGCGGATGGCGTTCATGCAAATTGCGACTCCAGCTTCGTTTATTCCAAACTTGGCCACAATCCCTGCTTCTCCAAACATGCGGACCCGGGGCTTGCCGGTCCGCAGGATGTCAAAGAAGGCGGTCGACGTGCCGGCCTCTCCCACCCAGTCCCAGTTCTGGCCGATGTAGACTTCTGAGCCAGAGGTGCTACGCGTGGCCAGCGATGTGCAACCGTCGCTATAGTTGGTGAGCGAGATCTCACTCCTCAGGTTCAGGGTCAGGATGTCAAGGAAGTCCACCCCCTCGCCAGCACCGGCCGCGATTCCCTTCATTTCCTCGACGAGATCCAGCTCATTCTTCTCCAAGGCTGGGAGGTACGTTTGTGCTCGCTTTCTCGATTCTGGCCAATCTGCTTCGGCCGTATCGAGGAACAGAATCTTGTAGTTCTCGATGCAGGTTCGGATTCTCTGAGGGATCTGGCTGCCATGGCTGAAGCCAATGTCCCACGACGAACCGCTGGCGATTACTTCTGGCACACCATTCCACTTTGGGGCGGCATCATGAGGGATAGCCAAGACTGTCATGGCTACCTTTTGGCTCAGACTTGGTGGTAGTGGTGGTGGTGTATGTGTACGATTTTAGGTGTGTGTGTAGGCGTATGCGCCTGGATCAGGGATAGTAAATGGACAGTGAAGTGAACTATTATCTCGCATCTTAACCGCACTTAAGTAAACACTGTAAAGACATGCATCTCATGGACGCTACCAGCCTGTTATTCGGCTTGCCGCGGTGCTCATGCCTCAGCCGGCGGGGATCGCCGAATTGATTTGAAAGCGCCGACTGCTCCAAACAACAACGGACACCGGATAACTCAACTAGGCCGGGTAGGTGACTTCGAGGAATTGGCCATGTTGATTTTCCCCGGGCTATGACTCATTCGTAGTTACCATCTGTACAGAATGCAGTCAAGTAAAGGCTCCAATAGTGGGCTTATTATCAGATTACCCGCATGTTCATTATGGGTTCGTTTTCACCCTTTACCAAGACCGCCGAGGTCAACAATGACTATGACACATATGTTGCTGGGGGATTTGCACCACTTCCCGTAAGAGCAGAAAAGTCACTTAGATGCAATAAGGCGTCATATTGATCCGAAGAATTACAGATTGCCTTGACCAGTGCCCAGGGTTCCATTGCTTATGATGTTGATGGCAAGTCATATATAGACTTTCTCAGCATGATTGCCGTCACCAACATGGGTCATGGACACCCTAGGATTGTGAAAGCTGCTGTCGAGGCTCTCCAGACAGGGGCCACAATCAACTTGGTTGTCCAGAACCCGCACTATGGACAGCTCGCAAGACGAATCACACAGGTATCAAATCGTTCAAGCAGCATGTCAGGGAACCTCGAGCGGAGGTGCTGATACAATGCTTAGATGTTCAATTATGATCGCTTTGTTGCCCTCACCAGCGGTGGAGAGGCTGTTGATGCCGCTATGAAGATGGCTCGGAAATGGGGTTACCTTGTGAAAGGCATCCCAATGGGCAAATGCTGCATCTTAAGCGCAAGCCGTTGCTATCATGGTGTAGGCATCTCCAACTTGTCACTCTTTAGCTTCAAGAGCTCTCGTGAGTCGATAATCCGGACTTTTATTGTTCTTGAACCCTTGGATCTAACATTAATAGTCTTCGAGCCATTTGACCCTAACAATGGGCACATATCGCCCTCTGGACATGAGATTAGGTTCGGGTATCTTGAAGACCTGAAGAAGGCGTTTGAGGCCGACGCCGAAACCATCGCAGCCTTTATTGTTGAGCCTATTCAAGGTGCTTCGGGGTAGGGAATACCCTCAATGGAAATGTCAAAAATCATTGGCTGATCCGACCTCAACCGGGCAGGGTTATCGCCCCACCAGAAGATTACATACCGGGAGTTGCAAAGTTGTGCAAGCAGTATAATGTTCTTCTTATCCTAGATGAGGTCCAAACTGGACTGGGGCGTTGTGGCTACCCTCTATATCAGATGAAGTATGGCATCCGGGCCGACCTGGTTGTGCTTGGCAAGGCGTTATCTGGAGGTAAGGAAACGCATGCTACCTGCTATTACATGAAGTTAATAACTGACAGGTTTGTCCCCAATGTCTGGGGTTCTCGGAGACAATGAAGTCATGGAGCTGCTCGACCCTGCAGAGTGAGTTGCCGCAACTGCACCTAGTCGGATGCTGAAACCAACACTAACAATCTCAAGGGTCGGTTCAACAATGGCTGCTAACCCTCCAGGTTGCGCAGCCGCTCTAGCTGCACTGGACGTGCTTTTTGACGAGGGGCTGTCCGCGAGGGCCACCGACATGGGAGAGTTGATGATTTCTACCATCAAAGCTATGAACCCCCCGCATGTGATAGACTACTCCGGGGATGGTCTGTTGCGCGCCATCGTGATTACTGAGAAGGAACCACGAGTGACTGCGCGACGTCTAGGGGCGCTGTTGGTACAACGAGGCTTGATCGCAAATGGTATGAAGGGTGGCCGAATCAGGCTCTGCCCTCCACTGAACATAGACCGGGAACTGCTCATCAGGGGAGCAGAAATGGTAGCACAGGCTCTCATTGATCTGGAGGGCATCCCTGAAACGTTGCCCGGAGAAATTATTCCCTTCAAATATGGCCATTATCTGAAATAGGTAGTCAAATAAGGCAAATAAGGATGTCAACTTCGAGTTGTATCTTACTGTCTAAGCTTGCATCAATTGAATATGACCGTTCCTATGTAGACCCTTGCTCTCGGAAATGGATATCTTACTGCGTTCTACTATCTTTGAACTTAACACTCGACTCTTTGTCTACCTCGTCCCAACTCATGTTGTTAATTTGACGGTTCCTTCAACTTTCCCAAGTTGTTCAGCCAGAGCTATTGCCGGAATGCGTATCACAAGCCGTCAACCATGTTCATACAGGTTGAGGGAGAGACTTATCGATACTCGGCAGTCGTAGGAACCCGCAGCGACCTTATGCTTGTGCGGCTTGGCCCGGCTTTGTGATGATCGGTAGGAGGCGAGCTTATACCCACCCATCCTCCACGCTCGGCCGCATCGGCTTTCCCCGCGTTTCGAACCACATGGTTACTTTAGCCCTCGCGGAACGCCGATGTCGAGGATGGGTGAGATGGTAGCAATATTCTCGCACGGGATAATGATGGGTACGACACGAATTTTGCTCCGGATGGACAGACGAGCTGTGAAGTTGAAAAGGCGGAACTTCCAGATCTGTGGGTTGTAGATAATATCGTGCTGGCGCTTAGGCATAATGCTTCATTCTTTCCATCGTCTGGTTGACAAATTGGGCCCCTAAAAGGCGAAGATATACAACAAACCCATCATGGCCAGCAAACCATTTCCTGCTGAAGTCTATGCCGCCTCCCTTACTTGGTTCTCCGAGGAAGAGCAACAGCCCATAAACTACGAGATTGAACAGAGGCACTTGAAACATCTGATTGGATCTGGCCTGACCGGAGGTGGGTTAAGCCTGATAGAAAAGCTTGGAACAAATGTTTAACGAGGAGCTACAGTTGTCATTGCCGGGTCCAATGGAGAAGCCGTCTCACTTACAGCCGAGGAGAGGCTTAAACTGGTCGCTCTGACAAGGGATGTCGCCACTCGTATGGGTCGTAAAGACATGCCAATAGTGATTGGAACAGTTGGACATGCTACCAAGGACATCATTGAACAGCTTAGGGCGTCCAAGGAGGCTGGGGCTGATTTTGGACTCGTTCTAACCCCCAGTTACTTCCACTTTGCCATGGATGCTTCTGTCATTAAACAGTTCTTCACAGAGGTAACAAGATTCCGTTATCTCACCATGTTATCAACCCCAGAGAGCTGACGCTGAGCAGGTTGCTGATGCTAGCCCCATCCCAATACTCATTTACAGCTGGCCGTTGGTTACCTCAGGGATCGAGATCAACTCGGACATCATGTCGACCCTCGGCAAGCATCCCAACATCGTCGGTACAAAGCTGACTTGCGGCGGGATCGCCAAGACGGTCCGAATCGCTGCAGAGTTCAGGCAGGAGGATTTCTGCGCCTTGACTGGCTTCACTGACTGGCTACTCCCTGGCCTTCATGCTGGAGCCGCTGGTAGCATCTCTGGATTTGCCAACTTGTGCCCCCGTGTAAATATTCCCCACGAATCAACACTCTGGCATGGAACGGTAGTCGGTGTTCTAAACAGAAGTAGGCATGCGTGAAGATCTATGAAGCTTACAAGGCTGGGAAATTTGACGAGGCCAGGATTTTGCAGAATGCCATTGCGAAGCCAGAATGGGACACTACGAAGTCAGGCATCAACAGGACGAAGTGGGTGGTTGCTAAGTTGCTCGGATACGGGGATGAGAACTGTGCGACAAGGAGGCCGTATGTTAAGTTTACAGATGAAGAACAGCAGGAAGAGCTATTGGGGACGATGCAGGCCATCTATTCCAGTGAGAAGGTCTAAGTTGGAAGAGCATAGCTCAAAGAAAGCTATGCGTAAAACATACCTATGCTCTGTCTCTCTGCTTTGATTCTACCTACTTGTGCACTACTTCGAGACAGATCAATACCATAGCTCATAAATTTGAATTACATATGATGACTAGAGAAACAAGTTTTCTGAGAGACGTCGTCCTGTGGCTCTCGTCTTTACTCCATGCAGGGAAGTTGAACTGGGTGCACGTGTACCGAAGGGTCAGGGAGAAATCTTGGCAATGGGAGACCGAATCATGCCTAAAAATCGACAATAGGTACTTGATGTTGTTCTACCAATGACTTAATCTGAATTCGATGTGACGCCCTTTAGGATGAGAAGGCGTCCCCCTTCAATGCGAACAACCTTTCCGTCCATAAAAGCGCCAGCTTTGCTCATCAGCCACAGAGCGCAACCAACCATATCTTCCTCAGTTCCCGGCCGTTTCGCTGGAGTCTCGCCTGCCAAGCGAAGGTTGGAGCTCCCGTCATTGGGAGTCATGCTAGAGGGGACCAGGCCGGGAGACATCGCATTGACACGGACTACACCACAAGTATTAGCCTTGGTCGTCCAAGAATGAATTGGATGGCTCACTATAGAAGTCTGCAAACTCGGCTGCCATTATCCTCACTAGATGGTCTACGGCCGCCTTGGAGGTCTGATAACAGGGCACAAATTGGTGGTTGTGCACACTGGCCGGGCTGCTGAACAAGATGACTGATCCTCGTCCATCTCCCTGTGCCGCGGCTGTGCCAAGAAGACTCACGAGGCCGGCGGTGAGGTAATAGGGCGCAAGGACGTTGAGGCGGAAGGTGTGCTCCCAGCCCCTGTAGGGAGCAGACAATGTCGCGGCTTCGAGCCTATCCAGGCTTTCTCCTGGCTTGTACGCGATCTCGTTTATATATCGGATGGCAGCGCAGTGAATCAGCGCGTCGAGTGATGTTCGAGTCGACTTGATTTTGTCTGCCACAGCCTTGATACCCTCCTCACTTGAGAGATCGGCATGTATTCTGTTGACGCTGTCAGTAAAAGGTCGTGATCGTACGTCAGGTGAATATGGACGGACGTTGCCACTTCGATCTTGTTGGAAACCGATGAGGACTCGGACAGGCCTTCTAGCTCAGGCTTGACGTCGTGGAGAGCCTTCTCGTTGACGTCTATAAGAATAACGTTGGCGCCGTTGCTAGCACATCCTCGCGCCAGCATGAGGCCAATGCCAGACGCTAGGTCCCTCGTCAGTCTACGGCCTGGTACAGCATCCTGCCATGGGTGAAGCAGGATGTTACTAGTCTTACCTCCTCCGGTGATTGCGACCCATCGGCCAGTGACGTCAAATAGCTCACCTACGCGAAGATTGGCTGCCATCCTAGAGAATTGAAATGGTGATACAGAATGGCCATTACCACACGATTCTTGTCAAGGAGCTCAACACCATCTTCGACTTTATGCCAACCGGCTTCCGATTCCCTGGCTGCCCGGCTTGGGGTTGCACTCTCGCGTACATCAACAGGCCGGGATCAAGCTCCGTCGGCGGTCCCCGAGAATATGGTGGTAAGCGACGCGATCCTCCGATCGCAAGTCATTTTCGTATCTAGACACCCCACAAGATCTGCGCCATTAGTCCAGCCGTTATCCGATGCTAATCCACTGTCTAGCCCTTGGGAGGAGTATCTGGTGTCCATTTCTCCAGAATCTTCCAAGGCATAGACCAGCACCCTCCCCGCTGGCTCTGATAAAACGGTCACTTTTTCATATTCCGGCATTGGCCAATGCTGTCGTAGCAAGGCAAATATCGCTAGGCTACACGAGTTTGTACCATGGATCTTATCACCACCCTGCCCAGTTCGCCAATGGCTTTGGCTTTACTCGGCCTTCTTGCCCTAGCGGCACTCTTGCTCGTATACGTCAACTTCTTCTACGTTGACTTCGCCAAGATCAAAGGTATCCCTGAGATTCCAGGTGGCAAAGTGCTTGCTGGTCATCTGTATGAACTTGGACACGACCACGCTACAACGGCGGCGATATGGGCTGCCAAGTATGGCTGGCCGGTCTATCAGTTTCGAATGGGCCACCGCCGGGTCATTATGCTCAACTCGTTCGACTCTGCCCGCGAGTGGTTGGTGAAGAACCAGTCAGCAACAATCGACCGTCCTTGGTTCTATACCTTTCACGGAATTGTATCGAAAACATCTGGTGGGTGAAACTGGCCATACCCAGACGCACAACGGAGGAGCTAACTGCGCTACATTGATAGCGGCAACCATTGGAACTAGCCCTTGGGATGAAAGGACCAAGAAGCAGAGGCGTGTGGTTGGTTCTTTCACTACAGGTCCTTCTGTCAAGAAGATGAACAAGATGCTGGACATGGAGACGTGTGCCGTCATTTCAAGGATATACTACGACAGCCAGAACGAAGTAGACGGTATATCGCCCCATGTGTATCAAAAGCGCCTTGCCTTGAACCTAATGATGATGTTTTGTTATGGGACTCGATTCAACTCAGTTCAGGACCCGATGCTACTTCAGATTCTCAGAGATGCCAAGACCATTGCTAGGTGAGATAGCTCTTATGCAACTTGGGCGCTGCAATCGCGCTAATCAGTGGCAGCTTCCGATCTACAAACTCCAATCCGCAGGACTTCATCCCTCACCTGAGATATGTGGGCAAGAACCGGAGAATGGCTACCGCGACGGCGGTCCGAGAGCGTCGAGATACTTGGCTGGCGGCCATGTTGAAGGCGGTCACGACCAACCTCGACCGGAAACGCCCGGGCGACAAGAAGTGCGTCGCCGAGATGCTGCTCGAGGATAACCAGGAGGGCCTCGCCGAGTGTAGGTTTCTTCTACCCCTCAGTACTGCTCTATGGTTGCAACACCTTACTAACATCCAACAGTGGATATCAAGACCATTCTTGGTGGACTCATGTCTGGTGGCTTTGAGACCGTCTACTCCACCCTCATCATTACCATTGGTATCCTCTCGACGGAAGCTGGGCAGCTGATTCAGGAGAAGGCATACCAGGATATTATGAACGCATATGATTCTCCCCAGATGGCATTTGAACAGTGTCTGCTGGAGGAAAAGAGTACATATGTTGTCGCCCTGGTGAAAGAGGCGTTGAGATTTTACCCTCCACTGAAGATCCTCCCTGCCAGACAAGTCTACAAGGCCTTCTCGTATGAGGGGGCCAACATTCCTAAGGGTCTTCTAGTTTACATTAACACGCAGGCCGTTAATTTCGGTAAGTAATTCACATCCGGCCCAGGCAAGATAAAGCATCTCACTTACATGCAATCTCAGACAAGGGTACTTACGGCCCAGATGCCGACCAGTTCCGCCCTGAACGATGGCTTGATAAGGCGACTGGTGTTCCTCCACCTTACCACTTCGCCTTTGGAGCTGGTGCCCGAATGTGTACGGCGGTCAACTTTTCGAACAGACTCCTATTCGCCGTCTTTCTTCGCTTGATACTGTCATTTAAAATGACACCGAGCAAGGAGATGCCCCCCAACACGGATCCGATCGGCTACAAGGAGGATCCAACAGCCTCCAACGCTGTAGCCTCGGACTTCAAGATCAAGTTCACACCTAGGAACAGGGAGGTGATAGAGAGCTTCTTGAAGAACTGTCACGAAGGATTGACCGAATTTGTGACCGGAGATAACGCGGAGCCCCTTTCGTTGTAGAAGAACGGTTAGCTAGACGACTACCTGATAGCTCAGCTATGCATGGAGCATAGGAGCGTGAGCAGTAGTATGAGCATAAAATTTGGGATAGTAAAGAAAGTCGATATGAATTGTCCCTAGGTCCAATATCTTCTACGTTGACAGCCAGTGGCGTTGTTCATGATGGTCGAAGTTGCCCTAATAGACGTGCGGATGCGGCACTGGGAGGGAATCTCAATATCTAATGAGGTATGAGTTAGACCTTATGATTCTGATTAACTACCTTGTAGGTTTGGTGCCTTCATTTATTTAGATGCCGATGTTACATCAAGTTTTGAGTATAAATCTGCTTTATATAAGAGATTGCAATGCCCTAACACATACCAACTGGCTTTCCATCCTTCTTCCATATTTTTGCATCCTTCATCACAAAGTTGACAGATCTGAGAAACTTGTGATTCTTCTCGGGGTCCTCGTCAAAGGCCACGATATCAGCTTGCAAGCCCTCTTCAAACCACCCGAATCGCCGTCCGCACATATCGCCACCACACGCCTCCCAGCCACCCACTGTGCACGACTCCAGAACATCAACCACCGGGATTCCGGCCTCTATCATCAGCTCGAGCTCCCTGACATTGTCGCCATGGGGGTATGTGCCTGTGTCACCGCCGCAGGCGAGGCGGACACCCAAGTCGTGAGCCCGCTTGACCTGCTTCAGTATGTCGCTGAATCGATGGGCGTGCAACTTCTCGGCGACTGCAAGTGTAGGCACCAAAATTACTTTCTTGTCAACCATCTTCTTAAACATGTCATCTGTACCGAAGTAAACGTGCTCGAGAGTGTTGGCACCGGCCTCGATGGCCCCCAACGCGCCCTCCAGAGTACAACAATGCGCCGATACGGGAGCGCGCGCAAGGGCGGCCTCCTTGACGATCATGTTCATTTCCTCCTGGGAGAAGACTAGGTAGTCGGGATTGGGCTCCTTGGGAGGATGCAGCACGCTAGGGATGTAAGGGTGCTGCTGCGCGGGGGGGCATCTCATGATTCTCCGACGGTAGTCGGCGAAAAACTTGATAATGTCAGCTCCGGCGGCAATTCGTCGTCGAACAGCCATACGGCATGCCTCGATGCCATCGACGGCATCTGCTCCTGCAGGAAGGCAGTGACCTCCGGAGGTGTTCTCTGTGCGAGGCTCAAATGAGCCGGTGCTCGCAAGGACCTTGGTGGCAACAAATAGACGCGGGCCAGGAGTCAGTCCTCGGGCGATTGCGTCTCGTAGATTTGCATCAAATTCTTGCATTCCCTCTGAGCCGAGGTCTCTAGAGGGATGAACATCGTGTTAGCGTACGTTGGCTGACGGCCTGGATAAGTTGACCAACCTGTATGTCGTGTATCCTGCAAGGAGCGCAATTCGGCAGTGATTGACCCCACGGATCAGCCGCTCTGCCATACTCTCATCTCTCTTTTGCTGAAGAGCCCCGGCCTCACTTCGGGTTGGATATCAGCGTATGTTCGGAATAGGCCAGTTTATGAGGAGAACGGACTTACTCGTAGGAATGCAAGAAGACGTGGGTATGCGCGTCCACCAGCCCTGGCATGACATATTTCCCACGGAGGTCGATGTCTCCCTCCTTCATGGTTTCTGAAAATGGCACCTTCTCGTCATCTCGCTCAAAGACCCGAACGATCAGGCCAGTCCCGGAATCAACTGTGACAGAAACATTCTTGCGAACTCGTTTGACCTTGGGGTCAAAAAGCGACGAGGTATGTAATGTGTATTCAGTCATGGCAATATCGTTTCGATCAAGGGCATCAAGTGAAAACACTCTTGAATGACAAGAGTGGAAATGTTCACAGGTACTGCTGGTGATATTCTCCCCACGGCAGGAAAAGTTCCCTTGAGAAATGACAACTTGCTCGCGAAATCTGGATTACATTAAGAGATCAGAGCCTTCTCTGCCGCGAGAGACGGGACGCGTCGATACTGAGCGTGGCATCGGATCAAGGCGCTGTTTCGCTGTTGCGTATCGCCCAACTCCGACCCCGCACATGGTGAGAAGTAACGACAACCTGGCAAAGATGGGCGCCGGGAAACGAGAGCGACCGGCCTAGACACCGAATACCTACACTTCTTAAAAGCCTACTATCTTTAATTAGAACTCCATAGGAGGCCAATGGCTACAAGAGTAACAGGCGCAGTTATCGATGCATAACAGCCTTGAAACCTAGCACCGTAAAATACCGTAACGCCAACATCCAACTGTACTTAAAGTGACGAGTTTCCTCCTGCAAAGAACCGCGGGCGCCGTACTTGCTGCAACAGTTTCCATATGGAGTGGAAAGCATGACCCCCAAGACAGGGAAGTCCTGCAGGAAAATGAGGGAGTTACATCTTGGCTGACCGGCAAAGATGCTGGCTACGCATGTAGCTATCATGATTGGCACCAGCACAGCAAGCCTCACTTGCACGTTGGCCCAACCCCGCCCTCTTTTCCCGGTTGCCTTTTCTTGTTGCCTTTTTTTGCTGCCTCACCGTGTTCCAGTTGTTCTCTCTTGCCCCAGCAAGCAAACGTGAGCAGCCAAGATGAGGCTTGCTTTGAAGCGAGGCGGAGACATCCGTAAAGTCCCGCCCTGTTAGGTACCGTCATTGTAGAGACCAGGCTCCCGAGCTGCTGGAAACCGCCTTTTAAGTCTTTTATCTCCTTCTAGACTTTTTCTCTTATCCTGCCTAACCTTCACCTCCTTGAGCTATCAGTAACTGCACCATGGACTATCTAGAAACGGCCATTTTGGAGGCTAGAAAGGCCGTTGAGACTGCATCGGATGACGACCCAGATTGGAGCAACCTACTAGCAGCGTTTGCAGTCCGACTCGGAGACAAATGCACAGCCACCAAAGACAGGGTCGACATCGAGGAAGCCATTCGGCTGTCGATGCAACAGAGCACGATCATGCAGATCGCATAAATCGCCTGATGTTTCTCACATATTTACTCAATGACAAGTTAATGTTGGCTGGTGAGATGGATGACCTGGATGAGGCCATCTCGGTAGCTCAACATGCCGTTGATGAAATGCCAGAAGACCATCCACAGTTTTTGATAGGCTTGACAACGCTCAGTCACCGTCTCAGAGACAAGTTCGCGAGAACAGGAGCCGCCCACGATCTCGAAAGGCCATCGCTGCTTCAAGTCAAGCCTTGGAGGCTATGCCAGACGATCATCAGGATCGGTCGGAACAATTTGGGGGGCTTTCGAATTTGCTCGCGAGCAGATACTTAAGCACGGGAGCCACGGAGGACCTTGGGCGAGCCATTCAGATGGTGCAAAATGGCGTCGATTCAATGATTCACGGCAATGACTCCCAGAAACCCTTGTTCCTACAACATCTTGGAGGCTTGCTTGGGCTCAAACCTCTGAGAACTGGCTTCCTGGCTGACGTTTAGGAAGGCATTCGGGTTGTCGGAGAGGCCGTGGCGATGCCCTTGAGCGGCGATGACAATAGAGGGGTTATCCTAAACGCCCTCGGCCATCTGCTGGCAAGCAGATGTGCTGTCACTGGGGCATTGGCTGATCTCAATGAGGCCATTTCCCTGACCAGGCAAGCAGTTGACACACCAAGCAACAACCAGACTGTCTTGTCTCAGAGACTGGGAAATCTCGCAGTGCAGCTTCAGCAGAGATTCCTGAGAACAAAGGCGGCACCTGATCTCGAGGAGTCGAGTGAGCTTTCCAAGAGGGCCATGGAGATGCTCCTAGATGACCACCCAGATCAGTCAAGGCATCGACATGATCTTGGGATCAAGCTTGCGCGAAAATTCACCATCACAAACAACATAGCTGATCTGGAGGCGGGTATCCAATGCATCAGACTTGCACTTGAGAGGATGCCTCACGATCATGCCAACAGAGCAGTTTACTTGCACAGTCTGGCCAACGGACTAATTCAGAAGGGCTCGGAGACCTTTGAGCCTACAGATGTCGATGAGTGGATTGCTGTGACAAAGGAGGCACTTTCCCTCACCCCCGAAAACCATACGGACCGAGAACTGTTGTATAGTCTTGGGGTAGGGCACCTCGCCGCCTGTGCAGTTAACAAAACAGGAGACGGGGTTGAAGAGGCCATCGTCTGCTTCAACTCAGCTCTGCGCCAACCCAATGCACCAACCCTTTGCCGTATCCGGGCTTGCATGTCTCTACTGTCCATCAACCCAGATTGGAAAGAAAGCCTAGAGGCGGCCAAACTCGTCATGGCCCTTCTTCCTCGTCTTACACCGCGGTCACTCGACAACGAGGATAGGCAGAACTCACTGAGCGAGATTGCTGGCCTGGCCTCTGATGCAGCGGCAGTGGCAATACAGTGTGAAGATGTCGCCGCTGCCCTGGATCTACTTGAACAGGCTTAAGGTTTGCTTGGAGCTTCTCTCGAAGAGATACGGACGGATGTCTTGGATTTAAGAGAGGTGCACCCGGAACTTGCGCATGATTTCGAACGACTCAGAGATAAGCTTGCGAGGCCGGCCGGCCTGAATCAAACAACGGATGAATTGGCATCCCGCGAGAGTCAGGCCCTGCGGCGCTACGATGCTGGAAAGGAGTTTGATAAGCTCGTTGAGCATATCCGCTAACTTCCCAATTTCAAGGATTTCCTACGAGCGCCAGGAATGGCAGCGATGCAAGATGCCACAGACCGAGGTCCCATTGCGATCATCAACGTCAGTGTGAGTGTGATCCACTGTGATGCTATTCTCATACGGCAGGACCGCATCCAGACCATATCATTGACCGGGCTATCTCTACATACTATCGAAGAGAAGGTGTTGATTGGTGATCGTGGAAGCCCCGAGGTTCTCGAATGGCTATGGGACACTGTCGCGGCCCCGGCCCTGGACGCCCTCGGCTTCACACAACCTCTTTCGGACAATGATAAATGGCCTCACATGTGGTGGATTCTTACTGGACTTCTTCGGCAATTCCCTCTACACGCGGCGGGATATCACAGAAAACGGAGTGCTGAAACAGTGATGGACAAAGTCATGTCCTCGTACGGCTCGTCTGTCAAAGCAATCTTACGGGGCCGCGAGCGTCGTGTATCACCCAAGGGATCGACCACCGCGGTTCTTGTCGCGATGGAACACATCCCAGCACGTTCGAACCTTCCCTTTGCTGATGCAGAAATCAAGGTCGTCAGCAGTCTTTGCGCGTCAATGGGACTCAATGTTGTTGAGCCTCATCGGCTGAAGGAGGAGGTGATGACAGGGTTGCAAAGCAGCACGATCTTTCACTTTGCTGCTCATGGGTCCACAAACCAAGACGACCCGTTGGAGAGCTTCTTGTGCCTGGAGGATGTCAGGTCAAACCCCCTGAGAGTGGCTGATCTTCTCAATCTCAACCTCAAGGAGAACCCCCCTTTTCTTGCATACCTCTCAGCGTGCGGGACCGGTCGTATCCAACAAGAGCGGCACATGGATGAGAGCATGCACTTGGTCAGCGCTTGTCAGCTTGCAGGATTCCGCCATGTTATTGGCACGTTATGGGAGGTCAATGATGAAATATGTGTTGAGACGGCCCGGATCACATATGAGGGCATTGGAGACGGGAAGATGGCTGGTGGGAAGATGGCTGATGAGTCTGTATTCCATGGCCTTCATGTGGCAGTTCGGAGGCTCCGAGATGCCGGCAACCGCCAGGTCTACTGTCCTGGCATTTGTTAAGAGACATACACAGAAAACAAATGTAACTGTTGCGCCGACCATGACCACTAACCTAGCTGCCATGCTCTCGATCAGGTTACATACAATCACTGGAGCCAGCAGAAGAAACGCGATCAGGGGACTGAGAATCGCTCTTGCTACTGTCACTGTTGAGGACCGTGGAAAGATGTGTACACGAGGGTCTCTTGATTTTGGCTCAGAACCCTGTCAAATTGTTAGCAATATATACATTGCTGACCAATGAAATACTCCCCTTTCCTAAACGGCACACAATCTTGTCACAGACTGTCCTTTCTAGCCATTTTACTACCCCGTCCTCCGTAGAGGACAGTGTCAACAGGTCTTTCTCGTTTTTCAGAAAGGCTGTCTCCTTTCTCGCAATGCAAGCATTTCCTGCGAGCCAATGCTGGAGACTTGAGGTGTATTTCTGGTGTGGCCTTTCATATGCAAGTGCTCTTTGGCTCCCTTGCAGCAGTTCATCTAAGTTCAGTACGGTTAGCATGTAGTTATCGGAAGAAGATATTAGCAAGCCCACCATATGCGGCGAGACTGGTGCGTAGTTTGGAGATTATCGTTTTTCGCTCCTCGTTTTTGTCCTCCCGCCGTGAAGCTAGAAATAGAGGCGACTTTTCTGTATGGTCAACTAGATTTAGCTGCTCTTCTAGATCGACTATTTCGTCCTGAGCAAGCAGTAGAAGGCGTGTACGAAGTCCTGGAAAGCGTCTGAAGATATGAAAGGCGTCATGTGCGGCCATCAAGGCCGAAAATCGAGGGTATCCCTGCCAATGATTCTCGACTTTCTGCGTCAGTATTTCTTCAGGGCCACTTTAACTAAGTCAAAACTCACTTTAAGTCTAGGAGGTGCTCCCAGTACTCACTTAGCAGCGCTCACGACATTTAAGCCTAGGCCTGAAAGCATGCAAAACCCTCCAAGGAGAGCGACATCGCGAAAAGAAACCGGCGGTTGCCTACGATAACGTAGATGTCGGGGTGCCAAGCTCAATATCAGCCATGTCGGTATCAGTGTCTGCACCGGTGGCTGTAATATCACCCTCCATCTTCCCATCAAGCGCGGAAGAAATCTGAAATAAGTATGCCAACCTGGATTTTCTATGGAGGCTTAGATTGCTGCCTAGTGATGGACATGGTTGTCGGGCGAAGTCGACATGCAGCTTGGCAAGCAACGTGGCGGGTATTGGACGCCTCGTTCATGCCATCCTATAAAATACCACCATCCCTTTCAACCCTCCACAAATGTTCTTTCGCTCCCTGCAACAATACCAATCAGACACAACTCCACCGAACTTTCATAGTCACAATGAGTGACAGAAATCAGTAGGTCACCGTAAACTTGATCCATGAGGTCTGGTCTAACGTTCGTAACAGCGTCGATGACTCCAACTTCGTCGTCACGAAAGGCAAGAGACCGGGTGTTGATGACTATGGGAACAACTATAGCTACTCACCAGGCGACATGGTCTATCTGTTCATATCCGGTCGGAGGGAAGGGCCATACAAGATTGAGGGTGCAAATGATGGAAAGTACACACTATGCAACAGTTCGGGAGTGACTGTCAAGAATGGTCGAGCGTATCCCGAGCACCAACTGGAGCTGTATGATCCTTTCGCATGAGCGGGTACAACTAGATATGAGTACGGACGAGATAACTGCGGGTCGTCCATTCGTATTTTTTATCCCCCCTATCACCATCCTGGTTGCCTTGCAAGCCTTGAAGCAGTCTTGAGAATGGATCTGGGTCTCTGCGATGTCTGGTTGGAGACTTTGATACCTCGCCTCCTCAGCTTTGTGAGCGAGTCAACCAGGAAATAGCTTAGTGCCCCTCTGGTGGCACCTCCATCAAATTCCAGCTCCGAAGCAACCTCAAGAGGTCCACACGCGGCAATGATTGTGTGGCCCTCGGGATCCAGGAGTCTGGATAGACCAAGCTCGCTGTCACGTGACGTATTGGAGTGAAAGGGATCTCGATAGTCGGATTGTAGGTCGACATCACGACTGTATTCCAAATATCGAACCTTCCTAGTTTGTAGTTGATCATCCCGGAGCACACTCCCTGAGAAACAATAGTCAAGAGTAAGCGTGACGGTAAGGCCTTTTTGTATCATCTTGTTGATAGCGTGCCGTAGTATGGTGCCATACGGATACTCGGTCTCCAAGCTGGTAGGGTTGACCAGTTCCAATGCGACTGCTTCGTTTATATTCTGAATAGTTCCATGGCTAGAGTAATGGATGTAGATGTGGTCGCTGGGCGAGGAGAGCTGAAGGACCCTTTGCATGCTGAAGATGACATTGTCGCGGCTGGGTAGGTACTCTTTAGTCTCTGTGGTCTTTCTGGCATCATGTGGCGACTTTGTGGCAGTGAGAATCGACATGTCGACGGCAGACGGCCCTGTTTTGAGATACTCAGCAGCAGCTCTGATGTCCTCAACCGCTCCCGGCAAAGACATGTCGTTGGCGGGGCTCGTAGACCGGGCACCAGGTCTTGGCAGAGTCAAGCCGACCCCAATCAGGATAGCCCATCGCTTAGGATGAGGATCCTGGGAAGTCATGGGAGCATGCATAAAGATTGTTTGGTAGGACTGCGTTCTCCTGTAAGTTGAGAAGGTCAGTGGGCGGAAGACCAAGAGAGGGTGAGTTCAGGGCGACACCTTAAAGTCGGAGGCCTCATTTTGAAAAAATCCATCTCCCATTGGCTCGGTACCACAGAACGACTGCAGCTGGCCATATGCAGATGTCCTGCAGCCACCTGGATGAAGGGAAAAACGAAACACAAGGACGAAATGCATTACTTAATCCCTCTCTAAATACAATCAATAAATTATAATAAGAATAGATAAAAAAAATTCTAATTATTATATAATTTTATGATATTTTTTATAAACTAATTAATTCTATTTATAAGGAATTAGGTAATTCTCTGAATACTCTGGGGGCCCCATAGGGACACGGGTACCCGTGGCTCCAGAATTTCACGGGTACCCGTGGGCATTATCTAAGCGTGGATGCGCTAACACTGCGACAACTACAACGAGATATGGCTATAGGCTTGTGCAGATCGGGTTAATGAGGAGGAATCGCAGCCGGATTGGTGTGTTAAGTGGCCCTATGAGGACGTTCTCCCGGGCGTAATAAATTCTAATGCTACTACTACTACTCCTACTACTACGACTATAGGGCTGAATACAATGCCTGCTGCTCCTCATTATCTTTCTCACATGCTCTCCATATCTCCCCTGGCCCTCGTCTACTCGAAAAAGGTGCTACTACTATCTCATCGGCTACTTTGACATCAAGTCGGTCGTTCTCCGACTTATCCCAGTCAAGATAGGCCATCATCTCTTCTTTAGTCCATTCCCTAGAGCCTGTTGGCGTCTCACAGCGCCTAGTCATTTGCTTCCAGTCGAGGCACCAGTCGTAGTCGGCTTTACTATACTGTAAAGGCAGACCCATCACCTTCCGATACTGCTGGTCAGTTCTGGTGCTGCCGGGCGGCTGCGCCTTGTACCAATCTTCTCTTGCTGCAGTATATCTCTGGTAGATAGCTCGTGGGTCATCGTACCGCAGTACCGGTGCTACCGCTACCGCTTCCACCGATGATTCTACTGCTATCGGTCCCTTCGTTGTCGCTGGCAACAACGCCATTGTCGAAGTACCGGCTACTGTTGGCGGGACAGCTATGGCTGCCAACGTTTCTGTTGCTGACCGTTGCGAAATCTCCGCGTGCCGTAGAGGGCATGATTTTGAGCTCATTTTATAGCCTATTGCGTAGCATCTGCTGCATATAGGCTGCGCCCTGGGTTGTGTAGCTGCCTCGACTGCCTCGAATGCACTAGCCTCCCGCCGAATGCTCGACTGTGGCTTAGCTGAGTTATCAGCTACTCGATCAATATACTGACGAGGCTCAAGCAGCAGCTGAGGACTCCCAGGGTGACTAAGATGCCAGTGTCTATGGAAGTGCTCCAGACAAAGGGGCTGATCCTGCTCTTGTAGCGCCTTGAGCATATGGGCACAAGGGAAACCGTGAGATCGAGAGAATGCGCCGGTACAAGCTGGCAGGTCTTCTTTCAAGAGCAGTTTCCGCTGCTCTTCGACCTTGCGTAAAGCCTCATGAGATACCCAGCCATATACGGCATTATAGAGAACCCCAGAGAGCTCAATCGGCACACGCGATTGCTGCTTGGCTTGGTTATATCGTAGCTCAGCTAGTTGATTGAGCAATGCATACTTCACGGCCCTCTAAGCCTCGAAAAGGTCTAATGTAGACTTCTTCAGGTGGCTCTTCAGGAGCGCGTAGATACCTTCGACCCGCGAGGTAACTACATTACCAAAATGGGGGTATCGGTCTACCCAAGCCTTAACGAGCTTTTCCTTATAGAGATTAAGCCAGTTGGTCTTGATATAACTAACTTCTTTGAGATGTTGGGGTAGGTAGCGCTCTTCAAACCCCTTAACGCGCCGATCGAAGGTTTCCTCGTCCGTTGATCTTATAATTGAATGCCAGTAATTGAAAAACTCATTCTAATTGTTAAGACTCTCTCGGCAAGCCTCTGGCCCCTGGTCATGGCGTGTAAAGGTTAGCTGGCAGTAGCGGAGGACTGCCTTGTTAGCATGCCAGAGGCATAAAAGCGAGATTGTACTTAAAAAGCAGCAAGCGACAGCATTTATACAAGCGAAGCACCGATCCGTGAGGATGATAGACTGGAGGGCTGTACCGCAAAGCTGGTATATTAATCGAAGCCAGTCTAAAGCCCAGGTATAATCCTCCTCGCTCTCGCCACTTAAGAACGTAAAGGTAATATAGAAGGATTGCTAGTAGGTATCCACCCCGATAATATCGAGGAGCGGCATTCTATATTTATTCATCTTGTATGTGCAATCTAAGAAGAATAAGTCTGGGTAAGCCTTGAGGTATGCCAATAACTCTGGGTGAGCGAATAATACTGCTGTAACCCGGTTATATAAATCAAGCTGCATCCGGTTCCAGAACCCTTCCTTATCTAGCTGATTTGCAAAGGTGTGTATAGTACTTTGACCCTTATACAGCTCTTGCTTGCTATCCGCGATGCGATTGTAGATATCTTGCTGGGTTGCAATGGTGTTTGAGTTCTGGCGGATATAAGTCCTGATATCCTTTGGCGCTATCCCGGCGTTTGTGAGGTTGCTGATTGTTGATCTGTCCGTGTCGGATAGTGTGCGATGATTTGGGTGAGCAGACTGGTGCCAGGTTGGCTCATGATTGTGAATGGCGAATCGGCTATCTGGACGGTGCCTTAAAGTCCATGTGGCCTTATCAAGGCTCTGCTTTGCAAGCACAGAAAACTGGCAGCTTGTGCCTCGGGTGCTTGTCTTCCGTCGTCGTTCTTTCGATACATCTGGAGGGCGACAGGCTCGATCGCAAGTGAATGTGACTGTAAGCCTCCCGGACTTCTCTTTGTGGGACCTTCCAGTAACGAAGGCATAGCCCCGTGGTGCTGCCCAGCTATTAATCGCCTTAAATAAGGCATCTCGGGATGTATACTCGCATTCAGGAGGGAGACAGTCATCTGGAAAACGAGCAGCCGTTCCCCTTGACCCCATTTTCCACCATGCAACAGATGGATATCTAAAAGAAGCGTAGGGACTGGAGAGAAGTTTGAAGCAGGCACGCGACGTGTTCGCGTTAGCGCATCCACGCTTAGATAACATGCTGTCGGTTCCATCATGGCTCGGCACTCCAAAGTCCAGACTCTAGACTCCAGTCAACCCGGCCAGTGGGGGCTACTAGGTTTGATAGCTAAATACGCGAGTACTTTGTACAATCTCGTAATAGCGCCAAAATGGAGGCAGGAGTTTGCGATCAAGTCCCGCTTTTCTTGATAGCATCACCAACTCATTTTTAGCGTAGCTCAAAATAACAGACTTCATTCTGAACAACTTTTTATCCATATATCCACTAGTAAAGTCCAGCAGATGCCTACTTGTCTCCATTCTAGTTCCTATGATCCAAAGTCCCCCCAGCAGAAGTCTCATTCTTCTGAAAATAGAGGCCCCGTCAAGTACTTCAAATCCGTGTCACAAGCCACCGTGACGACTTTTTGCCCCGGCCCTAGCTCTTTGGCAAGTTGGATGGCAGCCACGACGTTGAGGCCCGACGATGTCCCTACCAACAGGCCTTCTTCTCTGGCGAGGCGACGGCACATATTACGGGCCTCTTCTTCACCGACGGTACGGGCTTCGTCGTATCGGCCTGGGTCCACATGAGCCGAGATGAAGCCCGGTGCGATGCCGTCGACGCCGTGCGAGCCGCTGTGTCCTTTTGCCAACAGGGCTGCCGATTCCGGCTCAAGTAAGACAACACGGACCGTTGGGTTCGTGAGCTTTACTATGCTGAACACGCCCATTACCATGCCCGCTGTGCCGAACGCACCGCAAAAGGCGTCGAAACCGTCGGGAAACTGCTCGACCAGCTCTCAGCCGATCTCGGCGTATCCGATGAGCGCATCACGGTTGCTGAACTGGTTCGTATAGAGATAGTCCTTGCCGTACCCAAGATCAGCGGCGCGGTTCTTCATGGATGTCATCAAATCCGCCGTGGCCTTTCCCGAAGGGCTGTGCGTGATATCGAGGCTCGCTCCAAAGGCAGTCATAGTCCGCAATTTCTCGTTCGCATAGGCATTGGATGACAGCGCCAAGAACTTGTATCCCTTGACGGCGCAGATAAAGGCCAAGGACGAGCCGGTGCTGCCGCCGGTGGCCTCGACGATCGTCGTGTTGGGCTTGAGGTCGCCCCGAAGCTCGGCCTGCTCGATCATGGACTTCGCCATGCGGTCTTTGTAAGAGCCCGTCGGGTTCAAGTACTCGAGCTTGATGAAGACATCGGCGCTGTTCTCAGGCACGACACGTTTGAGTTGTACGACGGGCGTGTTGCCGATTGTGTCGAGGACCGATGATACTGGGAGGCGAGGGCTGGATGATGACATGGTGAATACCGAATACGGATGCGTGAGCGAGTTTGCAGCAGTTGAAATCGCAGAGTAGTTGAATACAGGAGGGAATTTGTTACCACAATACCTATTCCTCACCACAGTGTGAGTCAAAGGGCCAAAACAGCCATGGCAAGAGGGGCTAGGGCATGCGCTCAAGCCGGCTGATCGCATTTCCCTTCCTCTTGAGTCAGGGTGGGAGTCGTCAGGGGCGACGGAGTTGGAAGCCGAGAGTGGAGTCGTCCCGCGAAGTCGTCGGGGGTGGAGATGCGACAGAGAACAGTTCGTCAGCGGCAAGGGAAGAGACCGGGGTCCTGACAGCATCAGGCAACTAGCGACAAAGCACACGAGGACCTTTGCCCGCCGAGAGAGGGACGTCGAAGAACAGGCACAGGGTCTTGCCAGCGTTTCGCGCGTCCTGGGCGAAGAGTTTGCCGACATAGAACGACTGTCTCACGGGCCGGCCGGAATGGTGTACGCCTGTGCCTTAGGAGAGAGGGGGGTGAAGACAATACAGGACTTCTGCAAGGCGTCCCACGTCGTGGGGACGTTGCCAATCCTCAGTTGTATGTTATATTATCGCAATCATAGCAGGGCCGAGCCGGAGGATGTCGAGCGGGATAGGTGAATAGAAAAATTTCTAAAATTATTCTCTCAGGGCCCCTTTCCGATTGATACCACTGTGTGCCCCTACGCACCAGCTTAAACTCAATTATCATTTATCAATGTCAGTTAAGGGACTACTTGACGCAAGAAGTCTTTACAGTCCTTAGTAGCCACTTGCTTTTCCTATTAGTAATTCTTCATCGCTTGATTTCAAATACAGCGGCATTATCCGGCTTGGTAAGCGTGACAGCGAAGCCTGGTCTACTAGTTGGAATAGTTGAAACTTCAAAAAGTACCTTGAAAAGAACTTTGAATCACGTTTCTAGAGTAAAAGGTACTTTTTTATGGAATAGGCTAAGGTGACGTGGGATAATTTAGGGGGTGCATTGAATCAACAGTAGAAACCAGGTCATAACTAGCCCAAGCCCCTTAAAGAAGGGCCGGGTTAGCCTAGTAAGGCTGTTTATATAGAAGTAGTGCGGCAGATAGCGCAGGAAGAGATCCATATGTCCATCGGTAGTTATTACCAGCGTTTACTCTATAATATCTGTACCTCTACTGCTGAATCCCTACACCGAATGTTGTTGCCATATCTAGTTGAACCCTTTTTAGCGTTATTTTGAGAAAGATTGCTATTAGCTTACGATGTACTCCGAATGTTGTTGCTATATCTAGTTAGACCTTCTTTAGCGTTATTTACAGAAAGATCGTTTTTATCTTGAGACCTACTCCGAATTTTGTACCTACATCTGGTTGGACCTTCTTTTAAAGGTGCTAACATATCTGCAAAAGAGGGGCTATCACTTCCTGCATCCGAAAGCCCCTGAACCAGGGGTCTAAACAGCGATATAAGTAGTCCTCTTTTCCGCTATTAATTAAACAATACAGTGCAGTTTACCACATCTATTCGATGCTTGTTATGGTTTAATACTCCCCTTCTCTTTCTCATTTACCACCCTAAGCAGCGAACTATCCAAACCTTGAGTCTCACCCACTTGCTTTTGTAAATATCAGAGCACCCACTCACCCGACTTTCCGCCAACATGCGTTTCACTGCTGCTCTTATTTCGGCCCTTTTTGTAGCCACAGGCCTCACTGCTCCAATTCAAGAAGCTAAGGATGCTGCAGCCGCTGAGCTCAATGCCCGCTTTAGGTGCAGTACGGCTCCCATATTTCCTCTCAATCCCGCTTTGATGACTTGCTAATATAGGAGTAGTTGTTGATTCTGGCTGTATGAAAGGGTGTGCAAGTATCGGGATAAATCCTGGATTGTGCGGTATGTTGACCCTTGGCCCTAGAAAATGCTATGAAAAGCTAACAAGGTATTTATAGCTCCCAGCTGTACCTATTGTCCTTAAGTGCTACAAAGGCTGCTGGACTGTCACGACCTATGTCGGGACTAAGGACACAGTCACGTGGTGTTATTCCACCCCTACTTATTTTCACATGTTATGGAAGGAGCGCGCCAGTTTGGATCGTCACAATTCGCAGACTGTAACAATCCACCACACTACACAATCCAACATAAAATCTTAGTATATAGGCAGAACATCTGCACCTTAGAACCAGAGCCTGACACTTCTCAACTATGAACATACTTCCCTGTGTCAGACCCACGTTCAAATGGTCTCCCAATTCACGCTTTTTAACTTAAGCCAGTGAGCCGCACTAACAAACCCCTTTCGGACGGACTTTTTCGGGTGCTTAGTTAGCTGCTCAGTAATCAACATGAGTACAGATCGTGCATTCGGTCAACAGGGACGATAGCCCAATCCAAAACGGCCAGTGACAGAGCCGCCGTGGTCTCATGAAATTAGCGCCCTGCCCCAACTATCGAGCGCCGAGCTTGGCAGACATTAGCGTCTATCCCCCACTGAAGCCAAGATACGACGTCATCTTCCCCAGCGAACTTGCCAAGGGGCGGCAACCTCGAGCTTCAAGCAATGAATATAAAGGGTACTGTTCGATAATATAGGATAGGTTTTCCATCCTCAAACTTTCGAATCATCATTTCTATTCCTCTTATCTCGCCTCCTCTTCAATTTTCAGTTTGAGAAACTTGAAACTTACCTTCTTAAGCTTCGGCGAAGCCGCCGACAGGACAAGACATGATGCCCTCGTGAACGACGCGGATTTGGATGAAAATATTGATTAAGAAGCCCAGGTCGTCGAGAGTTGTGTCTTCGTAAACCCCTTTTCCAAAATTGCAATGCTCATCTAGATCCTATGTAAGTAACAAGGAATAAGACCACACATCCAGAGGATTCGATTGACTTGTAGCCCGAGAAGACAAGAGTGCTCCTCCAGACGCAAGGCAATAAAGCAGATGGCGCGTTGTGGGACTCATTCTTAGTGGACGACAGAGAGAGCGTAGGCAAGCCAAGAAAAGCGAGTGCTGGGGCCAACTTGAGTTCTGCGCCAGGTTTACTCTCTAACATACCAGTGAACGCTCTTGTCATTTATGCGGACTGCCACAAGCTCAAGGGATGGAGAAACCTTGCAGCCGCGACGGCAACTTCCGCGCCCAAGGCAATTCTAGCATTCTGTTGGATCCATTGCGGTCAATTCGATTAGGACAGTGATACAGTGGAGACTAAAGATGACGACAAGTGGTGAGACCAAGATATTGACATTTCATGTTTAGCTATCGTGATTGTGAAAGGTCTCACAAACTGGCCGCGTCCCATCACCAAGGAAGTCAATCCCACAAGCCCTCTTCGCTTTCTTCCTCCGAGCTGTCCCGCAGTGACGCTTCACCAGAAGATGACATGTAGACAGAATCAATCGGATCGAATGAGACATCATCCATTGGATCGAATGACAAGTCGTCGTTTGCAACAAACGGCTTTCGTACTCGCGGCTTTTGGCGGACGGATGGTCGAGGGCACGCCAACGCCTTGTGATGTTTTGGGGCCCGAAGCTCAAATGGTTTCTCCTGGCTGGAGCAGCTTGCTGCCCTCAGCTTGGCTTCGCCGTCCACTCGCCCGCCCGACTGTCGGATTCTCGCCTCTGTTTGAAATGTGATGACTGTGACGTAGTAATCAATCCGGCCTGGGGCAACTTCGTCGCGGATCCATCTCTCTCGACTCCAGGTATTTGACCCGAACCAGGTGCTTGCCCCACTCCACTCGTAACTTGTGCTACAATGAATCTCAGAGCTGGCGTATAAAAGCCCTTCTTCTCCTCGAAAGAACCACCGACGACGCATCTGATCGGCGATGGCATCCACTTGCTCTTGTTTCCGGCTAAGGGACTCAAGCTCAACTTGGACCTTTCGTAAGCTTGAAGACTTGGATAGAGTCTCGTTTAAAGTCTTGAGCCACGATCCTCGAAGATACAAAGTATGGTCGTGTTGCCAGTTCCTCCAGTCGGTGTGGCGAATAATCAAGCGCAGTCGTCGAGGGTTCAACTTGGAGACCAGATGTATCAGTTCTCCCTCATCCAGGCTCTGCGCCCGAGAGAAGATTGTCACCCCGTCAATTCGAACCTTTTCGTGCCCCAGATGTCTTGCCACTTCCGGAAAGACTTGGAAGAGCTTTGCGAGTACATTTTGATCCCTGTGCTGCGGTGGCATGTCCCAGTCCCGGCATAACCAGAATGTCTGTTCTTTCAGAAACGGAACAAACCAGCATTCCTGGTATACTGAGCGACATGTCCTTAATAACTCTAGATAAGCCCTGACAGGGCCCAAATGCCCTGGCCTATTGTAGGTCCGTCTTGCCTTGTACTGTTGTTTTTGTGGATCAGGAGAGTCCGTCAGTGCAAGACGAAAGATGCGGCTCCGGAGTTCCCCTGGTAGAAGTGTGAACAGAGGAGACTCGCTTTGAGTAACGGCTGATTTCGACAGAAGGGAAGGAAATGATGGTGGCATGGCGAGATGTGTTGGGTTTGTTCTTGAATGGTAGAGAGGGCTCCAACCAAACCTGGGCGAAACTCCTAGCGTAATTTTCCACGTGACAGAAAATTATGTGGGGTAACAAATGACACAAAGAGTCGGATTGTCAGTTTTGAGTTGTCAGAGTAAAAATCAATCTGATAGGTGCTTTTAGATGTGAGATTTATCTGCTGAACGAGCTGGCTCAAAGCTTGTAGCTAAGGCGACTTATGTTTTGGGAGAAGATGTATTGGACTTAGTTTGGAATCGAAGAATCGAATTGAGAAAGAAGAGTCAAAAAGAAATGGAGTGATGGTCAGATAGATGTAGATCGGTGTAATAGATTGACTCTGGTGTCAACGGCTTCAGTGCTATGCCACGACCAACTCAGTGCCGGATGAATGGGGAACAAAAGATGGCAGAGTTTAGATATTGACGTAGGGCAATCCACTCAGGAAGCACATTATATATGGACAACTCATCTTCATTGTTGTGCAGAGCGCGGCTTCAACTGCCCGTGGATGATCAAATGCTTACGTGTCAATGCACGACGATCGCGACAAGTTGCATCACGAGACGAAGATTCATTGATGCAGCAAATACAGATCGGATATTGGACGACCGAGTCATTGCATCTCTACAAGTGCATTAAATGCCACCGCGATCCAATTATGGGACCTGATTTAGGTAAGCTCAGTGCTAAACAGCGAGAGAATTCCGCTTCACCGCAAGCATTAGGTGGTAGCATTGTATTTTCCGTGTTAATCCCATTACACAAGTTGCGGGGAGACGAGTTATTTTCGCCGCGGGTGGCACTGTCAAGTCTCAGGACGTCTCAAAGAGAAGCAATATTGAGGTCTATTATGATGGAACTCTGTATGGTTCATCGCCTATGGCCGGGTGATATCTCCTTGATAAAGGATTTCGAGTGTTATTACAGTCAGATTCAACCTCCCGATTGTGTGATTGGACCGGGTCGATCTACGCGATGCAGCTTGGGGCTGGATTGGAACTGGTCAATAAAGATTCATCCCGTCCTGCACCCCAGATCAGCAACATGACCCTGAGTTCCGAGGATGTGGCCAAAAAGGGCGAATTCGAATGCTCCAGACGGAGTTGCCTTCACCCTTTCAGACTAGAACCCTTTGTAAATTCCCCTGGTGGATGGCACAGTAACTATTCGTGACGTCATTTGAGTGCCGATCAACCGAACTAAGCTGGATTCAGGGTGTCCTAATGTCGTTACCGAGGTCCGTCGCCATTAGTGACCCAATCAGGCGTAGCGAGAACGAGGAAATACCCGCGTAAATATTGTTATTGGTGAGAAACGGCGCTTCGGAAGGGTCTAGACCATCGGGCCTCAAGCACAGCCCGATACGAGTCGAGGCATCTATTCTGGGATTTATGGTTTGTGGTGGAATCAGATGAGCGGTGCCGATATGCCGTCGGCCGTTCCCGTGATGCTTGCTTCTGGAAAGCCTGAAGATCCAGACCCGCCGAAATGGGGAAAATACGAGAAGAACTGGGCATCGTGACGTCCCAGTTCGTCACGATCGACCCAACACGAGGTCCCCGCAACCGATCGGCAAAGGGGCGACTATCCTCAAATTTACAGAGCCGAAACCGAACGATGCTACAATGATTCTAATACAAAAAGACGAGATATCTCACTCCCCAATAGCTGAATGTCCAACAACACCAACAACACCAACAACAACTACATCTCAATCTCATCTCTTCAGCCTTTACCAAACCACCATAAAACAAAACATTTTCACATTCATCAGCAAAATGAAGTTCTTTATCGCCGCCATCCTCTCCGCTGTCGCCGTTTCGGCCAGCCCCGTCGCCGTGGCCGCCGACGCAGTCTTCACCGTCTCCGACTTCAGCGCCGGTTGCATTCCCCACAGCACTCAGTGCCTGTAAGCCATTCAACCATCTCCATCGAATACGCCGGTTCTTCTCAACTAATACCTCTGCAGTTACTCCTTTGGAGTTCTCCAGCCCGGAACCATGGAAACCACACCCGTCAAGTGCGAGGCTTTGGTCACTGCCAACACTGACGGCACCTTGCCCAACGTCAAGCACGGCAAGTGCAAGGAGTCTTCGCGCCTCTTCAGCGTCACTCGTGGTGACAAGGGCCTGTACCTCAAGGTCTGGCAGCCCGTCACTCCTTCAAGCAACCAGTCCGGCAAGCACCTGCTGCCCAAGAAGGATCTCGTTACATCCAACAAGCCCAACGCTGTTGTCCAGAGCTATAAGGGCCCTAAGAAGTTCAGTCTCTACTAGACTTGGAGGCGAGGAGAGTTGGTATGAGATTGATAGACGGATTGTATATAGTATTGTACGGTAAAAATATAGGCGATTTTAAGTCGACCGAAATAATTTAGCCAATGAATTCTTTTATTGATAAGGTACTAATGAATATCTTAATTTTTTTTATGTCTTATTGCTATTTAGTAAGCATCTAATACATAGCTTTCACGCTCTCTTGTCTTGCCCTTCTAGCTTAGCTAGACCAGTATGCAAGTATAACTCTACGAGAATAGTGCAAATATCTCGATTCCAACCTGCCTCAGTATTGATATCTCGGGTGCTGGCAAGCCCTCTCCCGTTATCACAAGTTCGAGTCATCAAAAGAAGAGACAGATTTCGGCGCTCTGGCGGTCTCCTACCCTAGAGCTGGTCGTCAGGCCCACAAGCCACTTTGCCGGTATGTTCAAAAGATACAGGGGTGGTCGGCGCCAGCTGATCGTTGCGTACTGGTGCCCCTCCACTTCTCCTTCACCCCATGTTATGTCGACGCACAAATACCGCACACACTCAAGTGCGTCAGAAGTTTTGCGCGATAGCCTATCCAAGCCATTCCATTCTCAGTCCAAGGTTTATGTCGACCTGGCATAAAGCTCTCATCGCCTCATCAGATTTGAATCAGAAGGCAAGGCATCAAGCCAATAAACGCGAAATCTCTCCAAAATTGCCATAGTATCAATGTCTTATCAAGCCTTTTCCGCCATACTTGCATCCTCTGTAATCCTTTGCAAAGATGATCCGGCGCCTTTTCACGGGAAAACCCGATCAGAGACGGGCGATGTAAATTTGCGAAGTCAAGGCTGGCTGAACCACTGTTCATCATGGTGATGGTTCGGCGCCGTGAAGTCTAACGAGTTCCAGTCACCAAACCTGGCGAGTTGGGCACTGTCGATCTGAAACTGGTCCCCTTGTGGCAATTCACTGAAAAGATCAAACAAGCTGAAAGGATGGGTTGCTAACAATAGATCATCAAGGTTCGGGATAGTGGCATGGGTTGACTCGTTTGTGTCCATGGTTGTGGGTGGATACAAAGGCCCTTCGATCCAGTTTTGTGTGTCAAGAGTTGCGAAGTCGGTCAAGTGGCCATCTAATGGCGCCGTCGAAGTGTCAATCAGGCTACCGAAAGGCCAGTTGTCCAGGGCCGTATCACCCAACACAAAATGTGTAGTATCGAGTTCTGTGGTACGGTGGGCTGTCCCTGCGACCTCAACATGGCCTGACTGCGGCGGCCCCGGGGCGATGTCTGCAGCTTCACATCCAGAGTCCGCTTGTGATGTGGTAGCAGACAGCCTAGAATGTTTGCCAGCGGATATCGTGGCGGGGTGTCCGTCTGCCGCCGTCTGGGGGCTCTTATGGGCGCAGATACAGGTCTCTCCCTCGCAGCAGCGGCAATGATCTGGCCGTGTGACTTGTTTAGCCCGCAGTCACTCATGCAGAACCTGGCGTGGAATCTCACCTCTTCCAAATTGCTTCAACATGGCGGTGCGTGACGTTGACCCGCATTTGCATTTCGTATGAACAGATCGTGAAGTGCGCAGCGAGCGGCAGTGACCGCACTGGGATACTGGGCGGCCCTTTTTCTGGACGCGTTGAAGTGGCCGGTCTCATTAAAACATTCTGGCATCAGCGTCACAGCGTACGTGAGGCAGACAAGGTGCTCACCAGCATGCTGACATTGAGAGACGCGGTGGCCCCGAATGCAGCTTTCACACGCAAACCTCTCTCCGTCGGAAATCATGGTCGTGCTGAGGACAACGTTTGCACAAGTTTGAAGTGGGAGGGGCAAGTTGACATGAGTATTCTTATTCTTAACAGGGCGCTAGATCCTGCTCTCAGGCGACTCGAGAATGAGTCAGCATTTGAGATTCGAGAATGAGTCAGCAATGAAAGCCTTGAAATACATATGCGGAATGGGAGTTCTTGTGGCTTGGCATCTACGACCAGAATGCTTACGAGCATAAGTCTAAGCACCTTATGCATAGATGAAGTGGAATTTTCAAAGATGGTGTAAAAGTTCCAGTCGTCAATGTCGCTCATCGTGCCCCAATTCGTTGCTCAGCAGCCCCTACTACAGCCGCCAACACCAAAATCAACATCAACAACAACACGAACACAATCATCACCATTAAGATTGCCCCTCAGTCATGGCATTTTCACAACACCATCATCATGCGTTGCCCTTGCTGCCTTACTAATAATGCAATCACAAGCATTAGTCCCCCGGCCCCAAAGCCAGTCTGACTACTTCTCTGCACTGCCGGCCTCTGTGGCCCTTGCAATCTTGACTACCCATCTTGGCCCGCTGAGCCCGACTGCCCGGCACCTGACGGTTCCTGCTTGGAATCTTTATTTATTGCGTGGAACAGTGAATCTAGGCAATGCCTTTTTACCCTACAAGGCCGATTTCTTTTGTGTCCTGGATGTCGAAAAAGGAAAATTGTATCATTGACAGCCTTGTGCCTGTAACTTGCTCACCTTGAGGGAGCAGACAGAAGTTAGATTAATATCGTTGGCAGATCGCAGCTGTTTCTAGTATACGACTTCGCAGACTAATTGCAGATTAGTGCCGCTTCATTTCGTTGCCTGCCCACGGTGGTATGCCCAAAAGATGGCCTCACACGAAAATGCATTGGACAAGCTGTCTACTAGCCGGGTACTTCCTTTTATTCCAGCCACGGAGGCATTACATGACACCAGAACCGGGTTATCAAGTGCAGGAAGTAGAGAAATCTATTTACTATTGCCAGCCTGAATCAGAAGATGCTTACCAAACAGCGTACATACCAAAGAGGGAAAATCTATATACAAAAAAAAAAAGGACCTTCTCTCCTACAGATACTTGAGCCCATCCCGACCAGGAACGCACTCCCAGCTATCAGCACTCTTCGGGTTCCCGGTGCCCTTGTACTGGTTCCGATACGGATATCGGCAATGCTTCCGCTCAAAGTCAACAACCCCTGAAGCCTTGGTCTGGTTAACATACGCCACGCCCCGGATCGTATCGGGCGCCACGCCCTCCTCGACCCACCGCACCATGGCCATGAGCACGTTGCCGTCCGGATCCAGCGTGGCATTGCTCCTGGCTTGATTTCCAATAAAGGTGGCGCCCGGTCCGCCACTGCAGTGGTTCGTGCCCGAGACGCGGAAGAAGCGGTAAAAGTCATCGAGTTCTTCGGGCGTCTGGGCCATGGTGGCGGCAACGTGCTCGTAGTACCGTGGGGAAATGTCGCTCGTGATGATGGGGTCCTGCAGTCCGTGCCAGTGTAAGAGTTTGGAGCCACCATCGCGCAGCTTGGAGAGGTCGCCCTGGAAGGACTCAATGCCAAAGGGGTTCTTTTGGGATGCTAAGTCAATGTCGGCGGACGAGAGGGTTGCGGGATCCCATGAGGCGTCACCGAAGACGACGTAGCGGAACCACTCGGTTGTATACTGGAACGGTGCGCCGCCGTAGTAGACTTGTGATGCGCCGAGCTCCGATCCAGGTTGCATGCGAGGGTGGACGAGCCGGCCTGACGAGTCTCGGAGGGCCGAGAAGATGGAACGCAGAACCGTCGCCTGAGCATCTGTCAAGCAGCTTGTGGTTCCGTTGCCAGCGGCACACACGAGACTGTCTGGGTTATAGTCGCAGAGCATCGGATCCTCCAGAATACCATCGACGTAGCCATCCAGGCCATCACACTGATCAAGAATATCCTGGTGAATCACCGTCCACATGTCCCGGGGCACAAACCTGCTGGCCGTGCTGGATCCTGTCAGGGGATAAAAGTGGCCGCTCCATGAGGTGAGGTTGTTGAACGAGATGGCTGGCGCGCCGGCTACGATGCCGTCAAACTCTTCAGGGAACATTTGCGCCATCTTCAAGCCCTGTCTTCCGCCCGTCGAGCAGCCGAGGTAGTACGACTTGCTAATCGACGGTTCGTAAAAGGTGTTTGCGATTTGCTTGCCAACCACCACTCCCGTATGTACCGCGCGCCAGGCAAAGTCCTGCACCACGTCCGAGTTATTGAAGAACGACACGCCCGAGAATCCGTCGTGGCCGTTATTCGTGCCAACGGCTGCGAAGCCCAAGGCCGCCGTATACGCGAGGTCCTCGTACTGGATGCAGCCGCCCGTTCCGCCGTTGCCGGTGCTCAGGAAGCGGCCGGACCAGTCGCGCGGCAGCCACATCTCCAGCATGACTTCGGAGCGGGCCGAGGTCGACACGTTGAGGCCCACGCGGCACATGTCGGCCGAGACGAGCTGTGACGGGCGCTGGCATGTTGGGGGGTTGTTCGGATAGGTGATGGTTGTGCCAGCTGAGATGACCTCTGCGGCCCAGAGGGTTGAGTTGGCAATGTCGAGGGTCTGCGCCAGGGAAGCACATCGAGTATCGAAAGTAGTGTTGGACTGGGCACGCGCCGAGGTGACGAGCGGTGCCAGTGCCAAAAGGCCTGGGAATGTGTTGAACCTCATGATGCAAGTGCCGTGTTAGGAATGAGAGTAGACTGTGGTTGATGCAATAAAGTGCCAATGAGCGTAGAAACGGAGAGACCTCGTGGCATATTCTATATACTTGACATGTTCGCCAATACGCAACCGCGTAAAGACTCGGAAAGCTTATATAACACGACCATCCCATCTGGACCCTGCCGCGCTAGCATGACTATCGACGACAGATTTCGGCAAGATGATCCGTTGCAGCAGGGGACGGAGATGACGCGGAGGTGGGATGCATGAGAACGCGATAAACCGACTTGATACGTGCCGTAGAGATTAAAATGGACATGTATGGATCAGCCATGCATGAGCTGGAGAAATACCTGGAGGACCCAGGTATGCCATTAACCTTTGTGATCCTTGCAACCTCTACCGAGTGACCTACTCATTCGGGCCCTGCCGAGCTACCTATTCCGGGCAATCGCATGACGTCGACGTTTCGATGTGAAACCAAACCAGGCGATCAACGCGCCATCTGTGAACTTTCTTGGACTTTTTAGGCAGTCCTGGGAAAAGATTCATCCGCCGGCGAGGCAGGTCGAGTCGTTGAGTGCTACCATGATCCTTGACTAGTTCGACTGGGGAACCATGTAACATGTTTGCTGGATTTTTTCACCGACACAGCCACCGTCTCAGACAACCTGTTTTGATGGAACCAGATCCAGAGCGATTCAGGCTCTTCTCTTCTAGTGGGATATGACAGGTGGGTAAATTATCGCTGTAGTTGCATTTACTAAGAAGCCAATTGGATTCTTTTCACAGGCTAGTTTTGTTTTAACCGCTTCCGTGTAAGAAGAAGCGATCAACACCAACGCGCGTCTGACATTGAGGCACAGGTGGTAGTTACCATTATTCACAACATTGGCCTAAAAAGTCGGACGGTGTTTGGACTGCTGGGATTGCTCTGCAAAGGTTGAACACAATATCAAGGCAGGTATTTCCAAAGGCAACTGAATCCCAAGTAGGGAATACGCCAAGAATTCCCACGGTCTGGAACGTCCGTCCCCGGCCGAGGCCGAAGCTTCGGGTTTCAGGGTCCACGATGCACGTCCCCGCTTCAAAACAGGGCACAGAGGCGCATGGAATTAAAGGGGAAGGAGGGTAGTTGATTGCTGCATCCTCTGAAGCCTAGCATTGCATGTGGATATCCAGGATCCAGGGAATTTTCCCGAGACAGGCCCTTTTAGAAGGCCAATGAAAGGGGCAGGGGGGATTATAAATACTCTATGCGGTGGCAACTCGGTCGGCATGACGGTGGGAGAAAATATCATCGCTGTGGTCGATGAATCGTTCGTTCAACATGGCGTGGTCGATAACCCCCTCTCCTCAACTTGTTGACTTTCCGTTTTCGGCCCATTATCCGAGGAGGTGAATGACCTGTCTACCAAACTATAAACTTTCCGGAAACAATCTTCTGCCGTGGCTGAGGTCGAGAATCTCGTCATCCATGTAGGTGAGTCGAGAAGTGATTCCGCCCACGCCATTCTGCTGTGTCTGTACGCCTGGTTATGCATTTAAATTCTACAAGGCATCAAATTTTCGCCCAATTCGTATTGATTATTACAAACTTAGTTCTGATTATTAATGGATTGGGAGAGGTGTACAGGGGTTAGGGTCATGAATATGCTGTATCTCTAGAATGTCACCTCAATGATCCTTACCCTTACATGAGAGCATGGGAGGAATCAGTACGGTGCTCTATTTATGATCATATATTTAAAAAGAATCGTTGACGGATATCCGTCTAGGAATTGAAAGTATGCAACCTCTGTTTCCTCTCTGGAAGCATAGATTTTGCAGCACCGTCCTCACTCTAGCCTAGCACTATTTCCTAGCCTCGAGAATTATTGTCAGCTTCTAGGGTGTCGAGTTAAATTGAGATTTTTGGCGGACGGATATTATGGAACTTGTTCTGCGTCGTGATGCTTGAGCTAATTGTTATTTATTGGTTATACGCGTTAATTCATGTGACGTGTCGTTGATAATTATCGTGGAGTAGACACCTTGACCGATCCTGTGCATACCGGACAGAAGGGCTTTGCGCTCATGCTCATTCGGGCGACAATCCCTCAGCGGTGCTGCTCTTCGACCAGGACGCGTATGTAGGGGAGATTTGGTTCATACTCCTACGTGAAAAGCCGGCCATGGCTAATGACGCGGTGTATTTCATCGTGTGTCTTTTGAGAGCGTCCGCATGGAAGCCATCGGCCAAGTTCACCGATTGAGGCTGCAGGACATTGCGGAGTCGACTTTGGCGGCAGCCATGACACCCCGGCACAATTAGCCAAAGATCAGACTCACAATGTGGAATCTCCATTGACTTTCTAGTCTGCGTTGGGTTGGACAAACAACCGACCCTCTACTTTGTTCTTTTTGATGGCTTCCAATCCCTTGGGCACATCTTCGAATGGTATCTCCGTCAATTTCGGAGTGATTTTGCGTGAAGCAATCAAGTTCAACACCTCCACTAGCTCCTCCTTTGACGAGCCAAATGAGCCCTTCACACTGACACTCTTTGTCACCAACATGACAGATGAGACTTCCACATTCTTGCCGTCGAGTCCCACCATGACAATTGTCCCGCCCTTCCTGACCGATGATAGAGCGGCGGAAATTGTTGACGTAGATCCAACAAAGTCGAGAACGACGTCGAAAACAACACCCGCAAAACTATCGAGGCGTGAGGAACACGCAACCGCGCCTAAGCGTTTTGCATCGTCGTATTTGGCTTCGTTGAGATCGATTCCATAGACCTTAGCGCCTTGCAATACCGAAATGGCAACTGCATTGAGTCCGAGGCCACCAATCCCAATGACTGCCACCTTTGCGGATTTTGTAACTCCGCCGGTCACCACTGTGGCGTGGTACGCCGTCGAAATCGAATCCGTGGCAACAGCCGCCTGGGCAAATGTCACACCGTCTGGAATCTTGACTAGGTGCTCATAATGAGCTAGCGCAAATTCACTGTAGCCTCCGTCGTAGCCGAGCCCAATCGTCGTGGCCCGGGTTGCCTTTTCGACAGGGTGAGCTACCAGAGCCACAGCAACGCGATCACCAACTTGAACCGGACAAGGTTCGGATCCGAGCTTTACAACAGTCCCAGCTACTTCGTGCCCGAGTGTAAGGGGAAGAGACGGCAGCATTTCGATGCCGTGACCCTCGACATAGTGGGCGTCGGTATGGCAGAGGCCAGCGGCTTTGACAGCGATCAGGGCCTGGCTTTGACCCGGCTCGGGGATAGGAATGTTTTGAAGCTGAAATGGCGTATCCGGAAAACCGAGCCGAAATGACTTCATGATGAAGGTGCTAGTGTAGGAGGGACAAAAGGAGTCTGGAAAGTAGAAAGTTGCTTACATTCGACCAAATTTTGCAAGACATCTTCATGGCCCAAGGCTTTCTAAGTATGTGATGCCTGGCCGCGCATTTAATCTATATATTCTTTACAGAATCCTGCTGTAGCTAGCGCCGTTAATATTGCGTGCACGATCTGGGCTGCTCCTTGCTGCAGGTGACGTTATGTGCATGGCGTGAAACGCTCCGTTCAGACTAATGCGGGTGAGGTTGACTACTTGTCTTGGCGGTGCTGGGATCCAGGCCAATGTGTTTCGCAGAATCAGGAAACATGAGGGGATGTTTGCAGAAATGATTCACGGATCTACTGATAAAGTCATCCCCCCCCCCCTGGAAGCTCCGGAAAAGACATACCTGACACGCTGGATCGGTAATTTACTAGTTATGATAATAAACGGACAACAAGAAGACCCAAGTCTCTCGATTTGCCTCTCCAGCCAATTATCCATTTACTCTAGCACACATAGACCACCACCAAGCACTCATCTTCCACTCCTCCCCATCTCTCCCACCGATGACATGTTCCCATTTCTCGAGAAACCACGGGGCAGCTTCCCAGTTCCGAGCATCCCAAGGTGCTGCTGAGGGCAAAGATTCGCCATTGGCAACGCCCCAACAACGGAGCCCATCATTCAATAAGTCGAGACAGAAATCTTCTCTGTCAATTAGCGGGGGATCTGAGTGTACCGCAGCAATTACCTTGGAGCGGAAACCTGGCCATGGGATCGTGTCTAATGTCGGGTGGTGTGGCACGGTGAGCTGCACGTCTGTGGGTACGAGGTCAGGCGGTATTCCCTTGAAATAGTCTCCAAAGTTCAGTCGTATTTGTGCAGCTTGATCGGCTATTTCCAGGACCGGTGCATCTTTCTCGAAGCCGTTCCTCAACATGAGCTGCTTTCCCAGGCGAAAAAAAGGAGATTCCGATGTAAAAGTGATGAGATCGTGCCATGATATGCCCAGGTGCAATGCGTTCATGAAGACAGCCGACACAAAAGAGACTCTTGATAGTAGGATGCAATCAGTGACCACGTCAATACGACCCCGGCATAGAGGGGATGCAACGATCTCGTGAATCCTAGAATTATGTTCCGAGGGCACGTTCAACTTTCCAAAAACGCTGATGCCGGCTTGAATTGCTGCTGTAAAATCAACGTATCCCAGGCTTTGTTGAATATCTTCCAGCCATTGGCCCATTGAAACAAGCATGGCGTTGTTGTAAAGTGAAGAACTCACAGGATACCCTAAGAAGATAAGCCCGTACTTGATAATGTCCCGAACGCCAAACAACTCTTTGGTCATCAGCATGAAAAAGTTGTGACGTTCCCGCTCGGGGTACGATCCGATGCAGGAAAAGAAATCCGAGGCGGTAAAGCCCGGCCCGATGTTCAGATGGCCAAGAGTAATATCGACATGGGCAGCAGAGACGGTGCATGTCGTCTGCTGAGCAGGTCTGTCAGCCTGTTCTCGATGATTCCATGGAGAAGGCGGCTGTGGGTAGACCAGGGGAGCTGGCAATCTCAGGCTAGAGATGGCTAGATTTTCTAATATCCTTCTCCTCTCTCTCTGCCGTGCGCCTATTGTTCCAAAAGGTGAGCCATCTCCACGACAAGAAAGCGCTGAGGAAAACATACGATAGTTGCGCTGCGCCAGGGCATTCTGCTGATGCCTCTGCTGTGAAGCTTTGCCGGACGCCATTTTCATGCGAAGGTATAATTGGTTGAATGAACTCGTTGAAGATTCTGTTTTGTTTTTCGCCTGTTTTTTAACCCTGAAGCAACGTGACAACAAGTACACCGCAAGGATATCGTGCGAGGCAGACGCGCCGCAACACATCGCAGGTCTCAATGGAAGTATCGGCTCCGGCTTCGGGCCACCCGGAACTTATTTCGTGCCGAGGTTTATTTCACACGGAATCACGGGACTCATCTCATGTAATTAATCACATCACGTCTCAACACGGCCTATGCGGTGGGTTGATCGAACTAACCTGTGGGCTGCTTAATCACGCCACCAAGACAATTGCAACCTCGGTTCCAGCTTTAGCTTCCTGCAGGCAACGTCAGCAGCATGAGCGGATTCATACAGAAGAGATACCTGCCTGTAGTTGACGTAAGATGCAGTATCAACGTCATGGCTATTGGGAATTGAGATTGGCATGAAAACCCGTCTTGCGCCGTAGTCAGTCACTACTTAAAGAAATCCAACAGTCCTTTTTCCAGATCTTGAATAAAACATTTCACATTTTATTTTGCCTTTCTCCCCTACATCACACGTCCGTCCAGCGCACGCGCCTCTCCACACACAAGAAAACACAATCATGCCTTGTGGTAGTTTGAGCTTAAATGGCGAATCTTTGCCAACCTTTGCTCCGGCCTACTCAAGAGCAAAGGGCATCTTTACGAACACTACCGCAGTCGGCATTACGTATCGAGTTGCTGCATCTCAGGTCGCCCCTCTCGTTCCTGATGTTCTTGAGCTAGATGAAGAGCCACTCATGACGTCGTTGTTTCTTAACTACGGAATGAGCCCGGTTGGATCGTACAGCGAGTACGCTCACCAGGTCGAGGTGACTTACAAGGGCAACAAGTATCACTTCAATCTCCTCTTCATTCTGGACAACGACGCCGCCATATTTGCGGGTCGCGAGCTTCTTGGGTTTCCAAAGGTCTATGGAAAGACCACGATTGAGCAATTTACCGGCAGCCGGCTTGTCTTGGGCGGTACAGAACGGCCAACTGGACGACAGATGGTCGAGTTTGAATTCGTTCCCGAACAGCTTGTGTCCAGCGCTCCTCCACCAGATAGATGGATGCTCAACCTCCGCAGTATCCCATCGCCATATTTTGGACAGCCGCCATCCGTTCAAGAATTCATCCCGTGTGGCCTGGGAATGAAATGCGACGAAGTCTGGTTGGGAAAAGGCCACATCAACTTTCCAAGGAAGTCAACCTCTGATCCCTGGGTGAATTTGGACATTTTGAGATACGAGGGA